TCGGGTTGCCCTTCGCGGAGGCACACATATTGGCTCCCCCGAGGGGTCTGCACTGTTTGCCGTCGGGTGTCCCTTGGCTACTAAGGGCAGGTGGTCCCCCGAGCTCACGACCTCAGCTGCTTTTCCGACGCTTCCCACTGGAACAGACGCCTTCACAGGCGAAGACGCAGGCCCAGCGGGCTGGGCTGACGACCTTTCTCCCACTCCGGGCTGACCTCCCTTCGTCAAGGGTGCAGTCGAGACACGACCTAGGGGGCTCTGCCCTCGAGGGGCTTTCCCTGTACGGTCGGCCGGGGGTTCCTGAGCTGGGACAGCCCCTAGGGGTTCAGTGCTTGTCGCAGACCGCGACGAGCGGCGGTAATCCCCTCCTACGCCATCTTGTTTTTGCGATTCCGATTCCTTAGTTCCCTCTACTGGTAACGCGGCGAAAATGTTCTGATATTGTTCAAACGGAGTACCTACATACGTAGTATAAGTCCGACTAGTAGTACAAGAATGCGCACCAAATGAAACTAAGTCCTTTGCCGACGCCGTCGAATCGCTTATTTCGACGCCGGCTGGTCTTTTGACGACTTATCGTCCTTGACCTCCTCGATCTTCGTATCCTTCCCGTTTTCCTCCTTCACAGCTTCTTCGAGTAATTGGCGGAGGCGGGCGACGTTAGGTTTTTTGCGTGGTGGGAGTTTGACGGGAAGCCACTTGGACTTGTCGTCAGGACACTTGTGCTTCGGGGTCCATCCAGTGTTCCCACACTTGAAGCAGCGCTTGTCGGACCGCAGCTTGTCGATCTCCATCGGCTGCCCGGTACCCCCATATGTCGTCCCTGTGGCGTCCTTCTTATCGCCACCGGAACTGCTTCCCTTCGATTGATTGCCTCGACCCGAACCGCCTTGGTTCGAGGAGGACTTACTGCCCAGTCCTTGGGCTACTCCGTATCGGTAATTCGCGTCGATACGCAACACTCGCGCCTTCCACTGGGCATAGGTTGTGGGGCGCTCGTTGTCCCCATGCATAACCGTGTTGCGCACCGTCGGCCTGATTGCCGCTTCTACTGCTTCGAACATCTGTTTTTCGTCCCCGAACTCCTCGCACTTGTGGGCTAGCCGTTCGAACTTCGCGAAGAATTCGACTGCGGATTTGAAATCCGCTTGTCGGACCTTCTTCCACTCGGACTTCCAGATGGTGATCTCCGCTACCTCGCGGAACTCGCGTCGGAGATCCTCGGAGAATTCCGCCCAGGTGGGGAATCTCCAGTGACCTTGCGGGTCCCGATATCGGTAGTATTGGTCTACCCACCATTGCTGCGCGTCCCCTCGTAGATACCCTTGCGCGAACGTAATATGGTAGGGGTTATGCCCCTGGTCGTTCATGCTGTAATACATGGGGAACACCGCGAAGTAGACCTCGCAGTGATGTAGGAAGCGCGTGATGTCGGAGGAAACCCCAGTAAAGTATTCGGGCTGGGTCACCAGCTTGGGTTTTACGTCATTCCAGGGGTTATTAACGGCTCCCGGCGCGAGTTGCCAGGGAGGGATCGGATCGGGGGGAGATGGTACATGCGGTGGTACCGGTGGTTTGGGCGGTCGCGATACCGAGCGTAAGTTTCGATTTTCCCCCGGGGGAGGGTATCCCGCAGGGTCCGGGTATGGCGGTTGTTTTGGTGGGAACGGGGGTACTGTGGACCCCTTTCCCTTGTCGGTGCGAGACGGCCCAGCGCCTGGGTCGTCCATGTCGTCATCGTCTTCGCCTGCTCCGCCGAAGAACCCCTCGGGGAAGAAGTCCGATGGGTCTGTCGGGTGAGGCATCGGTTGAGGCCTTCTATAGGGCTCACACCCTCGCTGCGGGGCAGTGGGGTTTACCAGGTTCCAGACGACAGCCGCCCGGTGCCAGGTTTCTACTTCGAGGATATTCTTCATTAGGTACACGTCACCCATGCCCTTGGCGTGACGGTAATCCTGCCCTGCTTCGGAGAAGAGCCACTGCGGGTCTTTCTCCATGTCTTCCATCATAATTTCATACAACCCGTGCCATGGTAGCAGTTCGAATATGCCCGGTCTAGGCACTGGGCCCTGAAGAAGGACCTGCCTCACCGCCGCCATTACCGTCGGTTCGAGGGCTTGGTTTGGAGGCCGACTCGGCATCCTTCGCGTCCTTCCTCTCTCGGGCGAGTCGGTCGAGCTCTTTGTTTCTCCTCCACCTGCCAATGTCGGAGTCCTCGTTGGAGATCTCCTCCTGGTATACTCTCCAGGCTCGAGCTCGGGCCTCAAGATCGGTTCCGGCCCTCCGGGCGTATCCGGTGTAGCGAACGGCAGCGGCTCGTATTCTGTTGTCGATTTCGGCGGGAGTGGCGTCGGGCTCGAGGGGTAAGTCCCAGAATCCATTGGGTCCATAGAGGGCGTCCTCCTCGGCACGTCGGATGCGTGCATCGTGCGCTCGGCCTCTGTCCATTCGGGCCTGAATTTCTGGGGACTCCCGGACATTTCGAGGGAGTCCGAGGGACTCGACGTACGTGTGATAGAGGAGCGGCCACGGACGCTGTAGGAGAGGGACTGGGTCAGCGAAGGCTCTCGACGCGACGGTCGGTTCCCAGTCGGAGACTCCGGCGATGCGCTCGGCGGCGGTAATTGCCCCAAGTTCCTCGGTGTCGAGATCTGGGAACTCGCTCCAAAGCTCCCCACTCGTCGGCTCGTTCGAGGGGACGGGGGTAGGGAGCGTTGGTGTCTCGGACCTTTCAGGGATCGGGTCGGACTCTCTTCTGGTCGTGACTCTGGCCACAGGAGTCTCTTCCCTGTTGTCGGCGTAGACCCAACTGGTGCTGGGATGCCAGCCGACTGGAGGGCCTCTATTGGTTGGCCAGGCCCTTGGAAGAGACTGTGAGTGAGCTGTACTGGTGGAAGCTGCGGAGGCTCCGAGGCCAAGCTCTCCTGAATCGGCGTCGTAGTCGTCCTTTTGCCTCTGTATAAACCTTCGGCGCTCTGCTCCGAGGTCGGAGTCTCCCCACTGGGCTTCAACCCACTTGGTGGACGACCTTCCGGACCAGTTGTCTCCGGTATAGGTTGCATCCTCCTCCGTGTTCGGATAGATGTCGTCGAGGATGTCGTCGAGGCGGGTTCTTTCCCACTCGGTGAGCTCGTCCCCTTCGAACTCGGTGTCAGGGCTTTCTTCACCCGCGACCAGATGCCTGGTGCCTTGTCCTCGCCCTCTGTCTGGGCTTGACTCGCCTTCGACTGAAGGCTGGTCGAAGAGGCCTGGTAGGGGCGAGTCTCCTCTGTCGTGGAGTACGCGCCGGGTATCGGTGATGTCGACGGAGTCGGTTGACTCGTCGGTAGCGCTTCTGTAGGAGTCGGTGCTCGACTCTGAGGATCGCGAGCTGGGTCGCGACGATCCGTAGAGGGACTCTCCATAGAGAGAGTGTAGCTCTAACCGAGGGGTTTCTGGAACTGGTAGTGTTTGCTGCGAAGCCGCGGGGATATCTATCACCTGCGGGGGGTATGCGGGTGCGCTGGGCACGTAATGGAAGGGAAGCTGAGGTCGAACCCTTCTCTGTTGTCGGCAACAGCGGAGTGTGTAGTATAAAGAAATGGACAAGAAAAAGGCGATAAAAGTTACGAAGATTGCAGGAATGGCGTCGGACCAGGGCATCCGTATAGAGATCTATCCGTGGCGTAGGTCGACGATTGACCATGCAAGCTGGTATACCGCAAGAATGGTGAGAACGATCAGGAGCGCGATAATCAAGCTAAGGTCGGTCTCGTAGTTGGATCCGTTCATTAACTGGATTTCGCAGGTTTCGTCGGGAGGAGTGCTCGTTACTATTAACAGCAAAACTGTTAAAATAGAGGCGAGCTGAAGAGCGAGAATGAAGGGTCTCGTGTTGGGATACGTGGTTCCTAAACGAGGCGGGGATATAGCGAGTACAGGGCGGCTAGCAAGCTTGCTAGTAGCACTGCCGGGATTCCGAGCGCGATTAGGAGGAAGGTTAAGTATACAGTCAGAAAGACTGCGAGGAGTAGGTCGTCGTAGAGGATTGATTCAACAATCAACCGGGTTACTAACAACAGAAGGAGTAGCCGAGGGGGTATTAGCCACAAGGCTAGTGCAACGAGGTAGTGTATTGGATGAATGATGACGGTGAGTGCTTTTCCGTTGGTCCACTCGCTGTACGTTGACAAGCACCGGGTTGTCCACACGAACGTAGGCGATGACCTCTCTGGTCAAGCGGGGGTTGTTCGATCTGTAAGGTAGATGACACTGACGAATCGTCAAAGTGCTGCTAGCAACCGCGAGGGTTTAACTAGCGGATGTAATGATGTAAAGTCGTCGGGCAGCGTTCGTTCTCTGACGTGGCGTTGAGCGGCGATGTCGAGCTTCGGCTAAATGTTAGCCACTAACTCAAATCGACTTAGATCGTACTAAGGTCGCTACTCGCACTTCGGTAGACGACGCTTTAGCAAGTCAAAGGCGATGCAAGTCGATGGGACAGATAGTCACGAAGAACGGAGTTCGATATTAGGTAGATTAAACCTTAGCCGAAGCTGGGGTTTAGACCAGCTGAGGCTCTACTTAAATACACGTTGCGTAGGCTAAAAATAGTGCCGCAGCAACGTCCGATCGAAATCGCAGCATAGAGTAAGCGTGAATACGTAAGAAAAGAAAAAGAAAAGGAAAAAGAAAAGAATAACCGTAACACATTTTGACGTTGTCGGACTGGTACCATACACCTGCAAAACAATTGGGTTTCCTGTAATCTTATTTCTCGTTTGTATTATGTGGACATGGCGGCGGCTAATCATCGACACATAGTACTCCGGATGCTATACTTTTCAATGACTTGGGAAGGTATGCTAGTCTCGTGTTCGGAATGTCGTGGATTCAATTAATTCAGGCCTTAGATGGGATGAAAACCCTACAAGTGATTTAGCTGTTGTGAATGTCACGCAGGGAACACGGTACATGTGTTCTGTGTGCATCTTTCAATGTCTGTCTAATGTGTATAATGTAGGTATCGTATCCGGATGATCAACGTCAGGTGCGATGCCGTGCTCACCGTCTCTATTGATAACCACATGATGTGATTGCCCGTCCTTTTTATTCTTTTGACGATTATTTTATTCACCGGTGATGGGTAGGACAATTATCGAAGTCGATGGTGTAAACCATGTTCCATACACAGTAGATGAAATCCAGATCTTTGCTGGTATGATCTTCAGTGTCATCTTCTGGAGATGATGGCGAGCTAACGTCTTCCCTCCCTCTTCATTTTTAGCTCAACGATACTCATTTGTCATTCGTCTCTGCATTTTTTGTGAGAATACATGGGTTACTGATATATATTCCAGTTGAACACGGACCAAGAAATTGGTAATTACTGTACATCTATCCTTTTTTTTATGACGAACAATTCCTTGACACCGACCTCTTAAGGGATCCATGCCAACCCCAGTGTTGGTATGCAGGGCTTTGATGGGGGTATTAACTCTGCCATCCTCCGATACAACGGTGCCGCTGATGTAGAGCCCGATACTGTGGCTTCCACAAGTGTATTGAAAATGAATGAGACCCAGCTGGTGGTATGTCCTTTAATTCTGCAAAACATTCCCACCAAAATTGACGAGGATCTTCGGTTAGCCCCTTGAGAATCCAGGAGCTGTACATTCGATATAACTTCACTGACACTTGTGCATGATTTGACCTTCAAAAGCCCGGGACCTCTGAAATTGGAGGCGTCGATGTCGCGATGAACCTTGCTCTCGCTTTTGTGTGTTTTCTCCCCTCTTCATCTTGACACTATTACTGATTCTGGCCATACAGACAAGTTCCAGAACGTTCACAATCAATGGTGCCTCGTTTGTTCCCCCGACAACTCCAGTTCTTTTGCAGATTTTGAGTGGTGCACAGAGCGCTAGCGATCTACTTCCCACGGGATCTGTTGTTTCTCTTCCGGTGAATTCTACAATCGAAATTTCTCTGCCGGGCGGTGTTGTTGGCGGAGGGGTGAGTTTTTTCATACTTGCAACTTATGGACTATGTTATCTTATCTCATTATCACTAGCATCCGTTCCATTTGCACGGCGTACATTCTCATTCAAATATTGTTTGTTCATTTTCAAGAATCTACTGTTACTAGCACACCTTCGATGTTGTGCGAAGCATGGGTAGTGACGTGTACAACTACGAGAATCCTGTTAGACGAGATGTTGTCAACATCAGTACAACCGGTGACAATGTTACGATACGGTTCACCACCGATAATCCTGGACCATGGTTCCTTCACTGGTCGGTTGTCTTCCATGACTGTAGATTGAAAATGACCTAATGTTTCTCTGTAGCCATATTGATTGGCACTTGGAGGTGTACGTCTTCTGACTCTACAGTTGGATTTCTAATAACTTTTCTGATAATGGATTTGCAATTGTTTTTTCCGAAGCTGTGGAAAGCTGGAACTCTACCATTGACCCTACTGGCATGTCTTCTTCCTCACGAATGGGTATTATCTGACTTACCAAACTCAAAGATCAATGGGATCAACTTTGTCCCATCTACAACACCACACCCGATGAAGACCTTTAGGGTTCCTTCTGTAGCCAGCGTCAAGTGTGGTCTTTGAATTATTAATTTCTTGGACTTTTTTTCATAGCTCCGATCTTTAACCATTATCCTTATCTGTCCTGAAATGATTATATATACCTTATTTATTCGTGGAAACACCTATCTCTCTCACACTTTGTCATAAAGTATTTAACATGTCGTCCGTCCGAGATAAACCACCGGCCTTCCTGCCGCCTCTAAGACATATGGACTGGCTCCTAGCCTTCGAGCCCAAAGAACATAACTCGTTCTCTGCTAGTACAATTGCATTCAGAAATTGTCGAGTAACCCACTGGATGGCCTGCGACGGGTTTTATCCCGTGAATGTCTGCGACACAAGAAACACCGACAGAGTCCCTTGTATTTCTCTTTCCAAACAGTTTTAGATACCATGCATTGACGTTACGATCAGATAACATGCTTTTCTAGTAGACTGTTGTCTGAGCATAGTTCAACCCATACTGATCCTTTCCTTGACATATTTCTCCGTCAGAGGTACATTGTCCATCGCAGCAACTGTGCGTCCCTTTGCGTATGTTCACACTTTTTCCAGACATTTTTCTTGTGGAACTCCTGTCGGATAATCTCAATGTGGCGGGAAGATTCAGCAATCAATCACATTGCCTATCATGTATCTACTACAGAGCAAACGTAATTAAGCTGAGGAACAAGTACAAAGCAATTGGATCATCGAGTTACTATCAGTGTCTGTGCTACTCCCACCGTCGGTCACGGTGATGATACTGTTTCCTCCTCCACCAAGGCCAGTATCAGTATCATTGCTAATAGGCGGTGCTCCATTGAAAACAACAGCGGCATTCTGGTTAGTGTTTTTGATAACTCCCATCTCAGTGAGATAACTGCCAGGTGAAGACTCGTAGCCAGCCGAAAGATCTACACCAACCGTGCCCCAGCTTCACCGCAAGATTCAGGAACATCGAAGAGAGACAATTATAGAAAATACTCACAGAAGGAGACCACCTGAAAGGTCGTCACCGAGATAGACGTACTCCAAGATAGGGTCGACACCAGTTCCACTATTGGGCACAACACCCGCCACGAATAAACAGTCATCTTCATAATTTGTAATGGCAATAGCGTTCATGCTATAAGGGGAGGTGGCCTCGACGGCATTGATAAGGTCTTGGTCGAAGAACACTTGGCCTGTAGTGGCTTTAAACAAGTGGCGATATAGCGATGCTTACCGACGTGTTGCTGGCCATCAGATTTAAAGGTACCATTGCCATAGACCATTCCATCAGCATGTACTATCATATGAAAGTGTGTAGTTCGTGCAGCATAGTGTCCTTGGAAGACCATCAGTCAGCAAAAGAGAGGGGATAGAGAATAGGCATACCTGGGAAGATAGTCTCAAACTGAGCATATCCTTCATCATTTATTTGCTGAATACCACATAGGAAAGTTGTGTTCTAAGGAGTAAATATCAGGGGAGAGAAGGAATCTAACCAACATCGATGGACTGACCAGGTTACTCGCATCAGTGGCATCACCATTGCCTTCCGCCACGATTCCGGCATAGACACCAGTCAATGGCTCACAAGTGGAGACATCAATTAACTCGATATCGACATACGTGGGCACTCCGGGTTGGTCTTCGCTCATGTCTGAGCGGATGTATTCACCCTGAACATAGTACGGGCCCTGCTCGATCTCGGGGGTGAGCGCACAAGATGTGTTTGACGTGAAGGGGTCAAGGCTTGTTGTATTCGATAGGTGGCTGGTGCTCACTACCTCATCCACGGAAAGAGTGTTAATGATCCAAGGATGACATGCAGGAGAAATTCAAGGAAACGGGCTTACAAGGATGGAATCGTATCGTCATCATTTTCACTTCATGTCGGGAAAAGCCTCTGCCTTGAATGATGCCCCAATGCTGACAAAAGCTTTGCGCTTTTACGGGATGGGAAGGAGAGTAGTTGACCGCAGATCTACGAAGAATTGTTGAAGGACGTTTCAACACCGACTCCGTAACAGGCTTACAAACGCAGCACAATAGGATGATATCTGCATAAGATATTGTTAGAGTCAAACGAGCGAAGGGTACAGATAGTACGCACGACGCTAGGGTCGATGATTTCTGACGTCTATATTTGACGTCTATATCACTCTATAAAAGCAAGAATATCAAGGGAGTCATTATGTCATTTAAATGGAAGGAGACACAGGAAAACCTTGAATTCATTCTCCTTTTTTTTTTTTTTGGCTTGGCATCGCATTCGGTCGACAGATAACAAGCTTCCTCTGGTACGTATACCTTCGAGGTCAATGGATCAACTCCCGCAGCAGCATCCCCAGTGTGTTTCAAGTTTCTAAGGTCTTCGAAACGTTTGGTCCATTAATTCCCTGACAGCGCCAAGCTTTCCGAGTAAGGATGCCAAAACACGAGCACAATTGATCTGGGAAATGTCGCCGTCTCATTGGAAACATTCTGACGCAGATCAACCAATTGGGGTGAAATAATGCGAGGACGACTAGCCGAAGGCGTGGTTAATGGACGGTCATTTCGGACCTGCTGGCTGCAATAGACTATAAAAGCGGATACCGACCCAGAGAGAGATCTTGGTAATTCAGGAGAAGATGTAGAGGCAGCGACGTTGCCAGTTATGAAAATGGATTCAAATGACTGTCGTCTGGAGACGCATGAGCTACTAACGATGACAAAGGGTGTAGGGCATGCCTTTCATCACTGATACCGTGAGCCCAGCATCTATCGCTACATTACCTCAGTAAACGGCATTCAATCAAGTGGCCACTAGGGAAAATGGGCATATATGTGCGCCAAAACATGGCATATGTTGGAGTATGCTGTTCAGCTCAGATAAGTGGGACTCCGGGATTAGCAGGGAACCCTCACAAACGCGCAAGGGGCTCGATTACAAGGTATCCTACTTTATATACTAATGCTAAATTTAGAAAATATACTACGGAAAGGAGGGGTGGCCGTCGGAAGCGCAGCGCATTTGGTATTTCAACACACCCCTGCAAATCGGCGTGCAACAGTGGAAAGAACGGCACCCCCGTAAGCTAAGCAGTCTAAAAGGGATATAAGGGAAGCACAGAAAACTCAGGTGATATCAAAATAAATCAAAAAAGGGCGCACGAAAAATCAGTCTTCTTCAAGCAGCAAACTTTCTTCATCTGAATCAGTGCCTTCAACCATTCCGGCAACCTCCTGCTTGTGGGATTCCCACAGCTTCTTCTCAGGACAAGCATCCTTGTAATGACCCTTCTTGTCACAGAAAAAGCAAATGATCTCAGATGCATCAGGGCGGGAACAACGTTGAGTAACAGAAAGGGCCTCATCAGTGGCTGTGGCATTCTGGGTGGAACGGTGGCGGTTCATAGACTGGCAAGTCTCATCATTCAGCAGTCGGGTGATAACGTGGTCGATAGTGAGCTGGTCGGGGGGAGTGGCATCGAAATGAATGATGACGGTGTCATAAGAGGAAGGAAGGCCCAGAGTAAGTGCCAAGATCACGTCCTGATCACTCACTTCAATCCCCGACATCTGCATGGCGAATGCCTGCCCATGAATCTCTCCAACCCAAGACTGAATCGACTGATTGCTTCGTTTCTTCATCGTCAAGAACTTCCTGCGTAATGCCAGCGAAGTCACAAATCCTCTGGCTCGGTGGACACTCCTCAGCGTCTCCCAAACCTCCATCGGGTCTCTCGCAATCATGTGTGGCAGCTGACCACTGTCAACTCGCAAAATCATCTCTGCATGAGCTTCAGCCATCTTCGAGGCTGCCCGCTTGGTCTTCTTCATCAGGTACTCTTTCTCAACCTCATCAGCAGTCTTCCCATCTCCATCAACTAGGATCTCGATAATGCCAGTCCACAAGCCCTTCCGAATGAGCTCAGCTTCCATCATGATGCTCCAGGTCGCATAGTTTGAGTCATTGAGCTTAGGAAAGCGAATGGAAGAGTTGTCAGAAGACATGGTGAAGGGGGATGGATGGAATGAGTCTCGTGAAATGAGGGGGGTCAACGGTAAGCCTTAGCGTTCTCGTAGCTAGGCTGATGGTCTCGTAGGTCTCAGGGGCCGCAACGGTCTCGACATTGGGCTATCAGTAAAGCAGCAGGTGGCAGCAGCGAGCGAGTAGAGCAAGAACTCGAAGGGTTATGCTGCGCGTTTGTGTTGGAGTACGCTGTTCAGCTCAGATAAGCGGGACTCCGGGATTAGCAGGGAACCCTCGCAAACGCGCGAGGGGCTCGATTACAAGGTATCCTACTTTATATACTAATGCTAAATTTAGAAAATATACTACGGAAAGGAGGGGTGGCCGTCGGAAGCGCGGCGCATTTGGTATTTCAACAGCATACGCGGGGGTACCTGCAGCGGACTGAACATGTCGATAACAAAGATCATAGATTGGATGGCATAATGCCTGCAATAGGAGATAGAGATGGCATCATCATCCAGGAGAATGAATCGACTGTATAGATACATGAGCTGCCACAGAGGATCATGGGAAGAGACGTAGCATGTACTGTCCATCACCTAGACAGCAAAGCGCAACCTCTTTAGATTTATTATCATGTAAAAAAACTTATTCAAGCCAGCTGTACCCTATAAGGCAGGGATTTGAGCGAATATAGCGGGAATAGTTACCAGTGGTAATACTGGCGGAGCGTAGCTCACAGGATCGAAAAATTGAAAGAAACTCGTCCTGGTCGTCGCCGATGTCCTTGAACAGCGAGTTTGACAATTGCAACACTGATTTTCCATCACGCGTTGGGATGGCAGTGAATGGAAAGAGACCTCGAACCGGACCGGTGGGCCGGACACCGGCATTGATAGTCGCAACGTGCGAGGAATAACATAGTGCAAAGAATTCTTTGCGCTAATGATTCGAGCTGATTGCAATACCTCGTAAGAGACGCTGTCTATTTGTGGGAATGATGAGTTTACAGGCGGTGAGACTGCATGACTTGAGAATGCTTTGTAAGTTGTGGATGGCCTACCCCGATGACCAACCGATGACTGGTCATTATGGGGCTCATTGATAACGGCAGTGGTTAATTCATGAGCATAATAGATACTTACTGTGATGGTGGTGGGAAGGAAATCCCAATCTCGGCTATCCGGGCCACCGTCAACCTTCCAAGGCACTTGTTTCATTTTTTCCCGATAAGCAGTCTCTGTTCATTGCCTGCCCGCCGATCGGGACAGGGTCCACCTGTAGAGCGTAGTTAGGATATACGATGAAAATACCATAAATGACCTTACGTTTGCGTGTAAAGGCAAGGAATGCGAGGGGGTGAAACTACTAGAGATCCAGGTAAAGGCTCAGAGCAGACCGTTGCCTTGCGTATGATCTGCTCATGGTATGAGAATCTTGTATCAGATAGCTATATAGACTCACCAGCACGTACACAAGCATTCTACACATTCGGGGTCGAAGAACGTAGTCAAGCCAAGCCCTTGATATCTGAAGCCTTGACTTTGTACATTTGAATGTCATTTAATGGTCGACCGCAGGCAAGGCTAGTATGCCCTAGGACTATCGTTACACCCGTTCGTTGCTGCATGAAATATAGCCGGTGGAGGCTTGCCTTAACATAAGGGAGCGTATTTTCTCGTCTGTTGGCACAAAAATACATCAACATTGATCAGCGCCTACACCTTTTTTTACAACAAACGTCGAGAGAGGCCTACCTTCGCGGCCTGCCTCCTTCCAACTGCAATGCTCCCTGGTTCATGGTGAACTTTGCTTGCGACAGAAACATAAGGAAGTTACAACCATGAATAGTGCGCATACAGTATAGGCATCAGAAAGAGTCACAAAGAAGATCCTCAAGCGCTTACAGTTCGCATATGGAAGTATCATTGTGACAAGGGTATTACCAATAATAGATGTGAGAGCGTCGTGGGACCTCAATGAACTGCCGTATGTCGTCAGCCAAAGAGAAAAGATCCGTGGATGAAAGGACCACCTTACCTGTAGTCTTCTAGATCATCAGACCTGTGGAATGAATATCCATCTGATGGACGTGCCTCTGTGGATCCCCGAAGTACCTTGGACATGCTAGGTTCTTACAGAAAACAGGCACTCACTTCTCAGACGCTTAATAAGAAGCCTCGGTGTATTTTACTCATCCCGCTTCAATAGAGATACAAGGCTCCATTATTCTACTAAATCTCGTTCTGTCAGCGGAGAATATTCGCCGTCTTGGATAAAAAAACCCTACCTCATCTTTCCAACTGATGCAATTCCACATAAATTCCCATCGTTTGTTGGCGGTTCTTAGGCATTCATGAAGATGCAGACACTTGTAGTACTTCCATTAGCACACAGGCCAATGCTTTGGTGTTGGTGTTGGTGGACAAATGCGTGAGATTACATCAGCGACGCGTCTAAATGATCATGAAACAGGAACAAACAACGCCGCCTTTCTGTCTCCATACGCGACGGCAGCGACACGCGTCTTCCCCCTCAGCCCATATACAAGTTACCGCCTATTATATCTCACCACGAGATTCGTATCACTTCTTTTCTAAAGGGGGGATATCTTTCCCGCAGCTGCATGTTTGCTCCGCCAGAATGCAAACATCAGTGATGGCCATTCGCGGCTGGCCAGACACTACCATGCAGGATTGCACCAATGTTCCTCATTTCAAGTCCGACTATTACTCACGTAGTACGCCTAATGGATGCGCATGCTCCTATTCTAGATCTCAGCCCTTCTGTTCGAGAGCTTCGATGCTGAACTGCCAGGGATGCTAAATACTCAGGAGGCTCGAATTTACTTGAAGTGTAATTATTTCTCTCTGAAGGGATGTTGTCTCTTTATAATAAGCTCATGTACGCTCATTGTAGGGATGCTTCTACTGGCCTGCTAAAGGGTGAAGTGCACGATGTAGACCAACTCCGAGAGAGTTTTCCAGCTTGCCGTCGAGAACGATGTCATCAGAATATCCTCTGAACAGCTGGGCAATACTCCTTCTGATTGGGGCATTTAATGTACCCCAAAGTTAACGTTTCAGATTTAATTATGGGGATACCTAAATAGTTTCCCGTGATTCTTTTCGCCGAGTTATCTAGAGTACTCCCTTTACATCTAGAACAACCGTGTACGCGCTCATCCAGGTACGTGTCTCTCGATTCGTTCTGCATAATCTGATAATTTAGCCGTCGAAGCGATAAACGCGTGTTCCTAGCGTTCCCGCCGGTGACCACAAGCCCTCCTGGGAAACAGCGCTTTAATGACTCATTTTATCTCAGCGCAAGGGCGCGAAGACCGGCAGTTAGCGTGTATGTTCGTGGATCATTCTGTTTCCAATGATTCATTTACGGTTTTCAGACGAAGGCTCAGGCCGAAATCGGCTCGACTGGCATCAACACTCATGATATGTGTTTGCCTCTGTCGTTGTTATTGAGTTTCCTCCCTGGTCATCAATAAACTTGTCTCGTGCTTATTCTCATTCTTAGCGGAAAATAAGCAACTTGAGGGTGCAAGTGCGCAATCTTGGTCTCCGGGGAATGGAAAGTACAGGTGCGGAGCTCATCTCCCAGCACTGTACCTTTTACATGACTCAATGACAATGTCTCTGGCACGAACAGCGCCTAATTAATCCATGTGCGGTACCATTGCTCCGGATCGCCGTGTCTCGTTGTGATTCCGTTGAGGCATTTTTACGTGGACCGTATCACCTACAAGGTCCAGAGAGGTACGGCGGCATTGTTTTTCTCATGTTTACTAACGGATCTCTAAACCTAGCTCGTGCTAGCGTCATGAGCCTCACGTCCTAGCATGTTCAATATATTGTGTGTGAAGCTCTCATCCGAGTCTCGGCACTCGTATACATCTTAACGCAGATATAAAGCGGGACCAAGGGGCTGACTTCCTCTCCAAGTTGACATGGCTTCTTCTCTTCTTTCTCTGCTAGCTCTTACTCTGCTTCTCCATAGCTCTCGTGCTCAACGACAGGGAACTATCGGCCCTGTGGGTGACCTCGTCGTCTCCAACGGGAACGTCAACCCCGATGGATTTGAACGCCTCGCTGCATTGGCCAACTCCCAGATAGACGGCGCCCTCATTAAAGGAAACAAGGTTAACCTCCCACACACCCGTCTATGGTGTCCTTTACGAATGTTCTGTATAGGGAGACGTATTCCAGATCAATGTTGTCAACCAGCTCGACAACAATACCATTCTACAGAGCACGTCTATCGTATGTTCGATCTCTGCTACCCAATCTCCGCGCCTCACACCCTCGCACAGCACTGGCACGGACTCTTCCAGAAGGGAACTGGCTGGGCTGACGGGCCCGCTTTTGTGAACCAGGTGATCTCGAATCAACCCTACTACCCGCCGCTTATACTGATCAAAACCAGTGCCCTATCACGAAAGGCGACTCGTTTCTTTATACATTTGATTCCGCCGACCAAGCTGGAACGTTCTGGTACCACTCTCATCTGGGTACGAATTCTCATTCTTTATTAGACCTACTTGGAAAGATGATCACAATCACTCCAGCGACTCAATACTGTGACGGGCTTCGTGGGCCTTTCATCATTTACGACCCTAACGATCCACATGCCGACCTGTATGACGTCGATGATGGTACGTTGACGCGTCTTCCTGGCTTGTCTAATAGCATAACTGTGTCACAGACACTACCAGCATATTGACGTTGTCGGACTGGTACCATACACCTGCGAAACAATTAGGTTTCCCGTAAGCTTATTTCTCGCTTGTATCATGCGGACATGGCGGCTAATTATGGACACATAGTACTCCGGATGCTATACTTTTCAATGGCTTGGGAAGGTAACCAAATCTCATGTTCTGAATCTTGCAGAGTGCATTAATTGGTGCCTTAGATGGAGCGGAAACCCTACAAGTGATTTAGCCGTCGTGAATGTCACAAAGGGAACAAGGTACATGTGTTCTGTGTGCGTCTTTCAATGTCTCTCTCATGCGTCTAATGTAGGTATCGTATCCGGATGATCAACGTCGGGTGCGACGCGGCGCTCACCGTCTCTATCGATAACCACACGATGTGATTTGCCGTCTTTTTTCCTTTTGACGATTATTTTATTCATCGCTGACGGGCAGGACAATTATCGAAGTCGATGGTATAAACCACGTCCCGTACACAGTAGACGAAATTCAGATTTTTGCTGGTATGTTCTTTCTTCGTTCTGTTCTAAAACTGAGGATCAGGCCTACAATTCTCCCTCTTTAGCACAACGATACTCATTTGTCGTCCGTTTCAGTTTCATTTGGAACATTTTTAGTGTTACTTATGCATGCCACAGCTGAACGCGGACCAGGACATTGGTAACTACTGTACGTCTACCATTTTCGCCATCACAAAGCATTCTTTGACAATGATATCTCAAGGGATTCATGCCACTCCTAGTGTTGGTACGCAGGGTTTCGACGGGGGTATCAACTCTGCGATCCTCCGATACAACGGCGCCGATAACGTGGAGCCCAACACTGTGGCTTTCACCAGTGTACTGAAAATGAATGAGACCCAGCTGGTAGTAAGTCCTTAAACATTATGTCAGATTCCCACCGAAACTGACAAACGATTTCTCAAAGCCCCTCGAGAATCCAGGAGCCGTACGTTTCGTATTCTATTGGTGATACTCACCCGTGGTCTGAATCTTCCGTAGCCCGGATCCCCCGAAAGTGGAGGTGTCGACGTTGCGCTTAACCTAGCCCTCGCTTTTGTACGCCTTATCTTCTCTTCATCTCTTCATTTTTGCTGACTGTAGTCATACAGACAAGCGCCGGAACGTTCACGATCGATGGCGTCTCATTTGTTCCCCCGACAACTCCAGTTCTTTTGCAGATTTTGAGTGGTGCACAGAACGCCAATGACCTCCTCCCTGCGGGCTCCGTTTTCACTCTTCCGTTGAATGCTACAATCGAAATTTCTATGCCAGGCGGTGTCGTTGGTGGAGGGGCGAGTCTTTTCAACTTCATGCGTTGCGTTATCTAATGCTTATCTCATTAATGCCAGCATCCGTTCCATTTGCACGGCGTATGTTCTCTCGTAAATCGTGTTAGCTGTTCGTTCTCACGAATTTACTATGACTAGCACGCTTTCGATGTTGTCCGAAGTGCTGGTAGTACTGTGTACAACTACGCGAACCCTGTACGCCGGGACGTTGTCAACATCGGTACCACGGGCGACAACGTTACGATCCGGTTCACCACCGACAACCCTGGACCATGGTTCCTTCACTGGTCAGTTGTCTTTTACAACTGTAGATTGAAAATAACTTAACTGTCTCTGTAGTCACATTGACTGGCACTTGGAGGCGTGCGTCCCATTATTCTTTCCGGTCTTCTGACTTAATAATGACTTCTCTGATAGTGGATTCGCAATTGTTTTTGCTGAGGCTGCTGGAAACTGGAACTCCACCATTAACCCTCCCGGTATGTCTTCTCCTTGCGGGAGGGGTATTATCTGACTTCCGAACCCCGAAGATCAATGGGATCAACTCTGTCCCATATACAACGCCACACCTCAGGAAGATCTTTAACATGCTTCCTGCGGCCAATGGAATGCCATGCTTGAATTTATTGATTTTTTGGACTTTCTTTTTGCTCTGATCTTTAACCGCCGCTGTTTCCTCTCTTGATATAATTAGATATTCTTTATTTATTCTTGGAAATGTTATTGCTCCCCACTTTGTTATGAAGCGCGAATGAAGTTGTGAAATGGAAGCTTCGAGTATCAGAACGCGCTTATGTTAATGCAGCATAGAACTCGAGGCGGCAGCCGCTTCGCGTGTGAGTGACGTTATCTTGCATTGAATGGCCGGAGAGTAAACAAAAAATCAACTTCTCTTGCGGCCATTTTGCCATCCCGATGGGTCAGTGACAAGACGCAGAAGCTTGATAGGCTGATGTTCTGACTGGTCTGACTGGTTCATCCTCTGCTGACAGATGATTTCAAAGACATCAATCCGCGAAATGGTCAGCAGAGACCGAGGGACAAAGTCAAAATGGACGAAGAAAACTGAGATTGGCATTACAAGAAAGCGAGACGCAAAAATATCCGTATGAATGTATAATTTGCGTTGCTCAAGACGTAGTTCCATCTGTCCTTAGTTAACCAAATGATTTTGGCCTCTGTTATCTACGAAAGGCAGGAGAAGTTAGTTGACTAAACTCAAGTAAAAAATAGCTCACATACCATCGTACATGTCGATTTGAACGCGAGCGACTTTGCGACCCATCAAGACCGGAAGATCTCGTTCGATAGCGAGTTGAACTGAAACCTTGTTCGAAGGCTCGTCAATGCCCGATGCCTGGCTAATGACAACGTCAACCACGAGTGAGCGGACGCAAGTACGCGACAAAGCGATATCAAGCTCCTTCCAAGCACTGTAGTCCGCCTCCGCATGCGCGTTGTATGTGGACACGTGGATGAGGAAGTGCACGCTAGAGCATTGCATTGCAGGGTAGCTCTCGAAATGTCCGATCCACCATTCGAAGATGCTTAGGTCAGTCGATAAAATCATGCGGCCAAGGTGATAATCCATGATCTCGATAGTGATATCTTTCAGGTGTTGAATGGGGAAATACTCGGACCGGTCTGCAGCATATCGTCAGCGGATGATCATCCAGGGAAAAGCGAGAACGTAATACCTGCTGGGGGCTTTTCAAATTGTGAGACGTGAAGAACTTCGAGGGATTGCATGGTCAAGTCGATGAAGCGCCGTGCCAGATCAAAGTGGTCTTCCTCTAGCAACACGCCGAGAATGTGTAACCTGTCCAGATACAACGGTGATAGAGTGGGAGATAAAACAATCTCTGGTATCTGTCTCATTTTTCGGAGAGATAGCTCGGTGATGTGTGGGCGACGAGAAGTATCAAAATTAGCGCTGAACAGAAGTTGGTCGTTGCTATCGATGGTCGTCATGAAGCAGGAGATCTGACGAAGGCCGGGCGAGTGAGATAGGAAGGAGTAGAATGCGTTGGAATCAGTGAAGTGTGTATGCATCAGGACGATGGATCGGAAGGAATGGGACGCTATAGAATCGACGAATCTCTGAGATAACGATTTCCAATCCATTCCAGACAGCTTGATTTCGTTTAGATTAGGCAGGATGCGAAGTAACGCAGGAAAATCGGTCCTGGTAGACATCGTATGCGCCAGATGGTGGTTAACAGTCCAGATAATGGTGAGAGTTGTCGGAGACGACGAAACGTGCCGGGAGAAACGACAGAGCGCAAGAAATTCTTTGCACTGGCGATTTGAGCTAATTGTAATATCTCGCAGAAGATGCTGTCCAGTTCTGGGAATGAAAGTTTGAAGGCGAGACTGCAGGACTTGAGAATGCTTCGTGAGTGGCCTACCCCGCCCGACTGATCATTATGGAGCTCGTCGATGATAACATCGATTAATTCTTGGGGTAGAGAATATATTGGGGACGGCATCTATTAGAATGAGTATAAGGTGGTCTGGCATTGCGTGAGCGTAGTAAATGCTTACCTTGATGGTGGTGGAAAGGAGAACCCAATCTCGGCTATCCGGACCGCCGATGCTCTTCCTTGAGTACGGGTACTCCCGACGGGGTCCATCAGAAATACGGCCAGACAAGATGCGATCAAGGGTAATCGACGCACTTAGCAAGTCTTTGAGTACGTCGACGCGGAGGCCTCTGAAACGTCGACGCAACAGTCCGTTTACGATGAGGGCTGCTCAGATTTCGAATGACAGAACAAAATGGTTGCGGCTATGCGCGTGCTCACGACTGGACCGGGTCCTGAGCTTTATCGTGTCAGTGGGTACCAATTCGTTTCTTCGTCTACTTACTGATCTGGAATCAGGGTATTAATTGTCTGGGGAAATAGCTAATGAGCGATGAGAATATGATATAAGATCGGATTTCTCTGGAAGCGAAGTAATTGAATGATATAAGGTATTAGAGATGTGCACGATGGTCGACTTCTCACTCACGGTAGGATAATTTTGTGTAATATGGCCGTTCCGATCCGCATTCTATACATTCAGGTTCGGGCGGTGTGGCCACCCCAAACCCCTGGTACGGAAGGCTTGACTGGTCGTTTTCAATGTCATTTTTTCAAGGACCGCAGACGAATCCAGTACATCGTTCTGGGGTACGTATATCAATATTATATACAGTATGAAATGCAGTCGACGGTTGCTTACCATGGCATATGGACAATACTTCTTTCTTACCGATCGGCAACTACGCGTGCTTTATACGGATAACTAAGGATGCTGAGAGACGCTTACCTTCAGTACCTCCTCCTTCCACCGTAACATTCTCCACTAGACTGTGGAAGAAAAAAAGGTGGACATCACAGGGTTACTGCGCACGCAGTATTCTTGGCGGTGGAACTATCAGAAAGAGACTCTAAGAAGAAATGTTTAGAGTTTAGAGATCGAGATCGAAAAGGCACCATTGCCGATAAGGTTATCATCATTAATGACTCGATGGACGCGTGAACTTCACTTTTCCCAAGTGCCTGCGCAGTCGTTGTGAGAAAATCTTATATCATAGTTATTCGGCATTAGCTAAAGAAACAAGGCTCATGAATAAAAACGGCCCTTACCGGTGAGTTTCCAGATCAGCAGGGCTGGCATAGCTTAAAGTTCGAAAGAGGGTGCCTTTAATATTTATACGACCTCGGAGTACTACATCAGTTGACGAGTGTTACGTCACATAAGTGAATGAGAAATTGATATCGCCTTTGTGTTACTTTTAGAAAATAGACACGGCCTTCTCAGATGAACACTGGTATAGAAATAAACCGTTACTCACCCCGCTTTTATTTGTTGCCCAATCAAATCAACTCTTTCCGTCAGCAGAGGAAGAAAATTTACTGTCTCTTAGAATTCTCTCCCGCATCTTCGTGAGTGATGTCAGTGACGTATCGTTTCCCCGTCGGCTGGCAGCGGTTCGTCGACACTCAGGCAGAAACAGACTCTGAAGGGACTTCATTAGTTGGCGGATCAGGGAAAAGGGTGTATGATTACATCAGTGACGTTCTAGAGCGATACAGAAATAACAAATAACGCCCACGATCGTGCCACGCGACTTGGTGGCGACGCGTTCTCCCGTCGCCCCTTAAAATTTACAAGAGCTCGGTATCATCTGCTTGAAATTGGAAATGGTTTTCCCACTGCTGTCCTGCACTCCATACAATGGTGTCCGAGCATTACTGAGCTGTGACGGTTTAACGGCCGCTTCTCGGACTCAGGTCTAGATTTCGGTACTTTTTCTTGAACCAATACCTAGGCACTGGATTCAATGGAGCTGACTTTTCTTCTGGGAGGGCTATCTATAGTGCTACTATCCTTCAGTCATATTTGGAATAACCGTATAAGCCCTTATTCAGGCCCATTTTTCTCGATTCATTTGGTGTAACCTTATACTTCGGTTGTCGGAGTGTCGAAGCGATGCGCGCGCGTTCCTAGCATTTTAGTCGGTGATTAGAAGCCAACATGTGAACTGATGATAGACTTGGTCTTTAAATGAGAGGGCGAAGACCGCGGAGGTGCTCGTGTGCAATTTATTTCTCTGGAAGAAAGCGGTTCAACTAATACACCAATATAGTCATAATCTTGACTCGCGTCTCCTAATGTTGATGAGCTCTCTTTCTCACCAACCAAGAACTTGTCCCGTGATAATTTCCACTGGTATCAAGCAGACACCTTGATCTGACAATAAGCACAGTCTAGGTCTCAGGGAAATAGTGAACCAAACGTGCGGGCATCATCTTTCAGACTCGGATGACTCAATGTCACAAATTAATTCCAGCGCGAATAGCTCCCATGTACAATATAGCCTGGATCACCGTATCCCCCCGTGACCTAGTACTGTACGCGAATCATATTGTCTACCAAGATAGAATTCTAGAGAGACTACTGCATTGACTTTCCTAGCGTTTACTAATAGATCTCTAAATTTGCCTCAAGCTATCGTCATATACATCACGTTCTACCAACGAATCCGATAGATCGTGTGTGAAACTCTAATCCGACTCTCGGCATTCATACATATTTTGACAAACATGAAGTCAGTTCGAATGAATGTGTTCTCCTCAAGTCAACATGCCTTTTCTCATCTTTTCTCTGCTCACTCTCACTCTCCGTTTCTCTATTTCTCATGGCCTACGAAAGAGAAATGCTGGCTCTCTCGGGCACCTCATCGTCTCGAATGGAAACGTCAATCCGACGGCTTTGAAGCTGCGTCGGCGAACTCGAAGATAGACGGCACGCTCATCAGAGGAAGGAGGCGAGCCTCAAGCACACGTTCATCCATTGAGAGGGGTAGGAAGCCTCCAATGGTACAGGCAGGAGGATCGCTTAGGCGAATTTCGGCCAAAAACCTCACACTAAAGTGGAGCGTAGGTAGGAAATGTGGCTAAACAGATAATGTACACAAGGACTGAGGAAGAACGCAATTGGTTCATCTTTTAACAAGTATATATGATCCTCACTCTTTGACGAAGGTCGTCCAGGCGATATCTGTTTTGCGGAATAAGCACCACCTCAGACAGATCTATCTCCTCCAGGAAGACTGGTCGGGGCCGGCTAGCATCCTGGTCCTCTTCACTACCTGCCCCATGTTCGCCGCCGGCGAAATCCTTTCGACATCGTGACTCAAGAAAGTCAAGGACAACTAGATCAGGGAAGGGTTGACGATCCCTTTGGAGTTGGAGAATGCGGAGGTTGGGTAAAATGGTGTCCTTCCCCGACCGAATGGTGAGACCTCGAAAGAATGTCCGATTACGTCGCCCATTAATTACCAACTTCTCTACATGTGGCACGGTGTTAAGAAACCGGAGAACTCGTTCAGTGTCGGCGGGGCTCTCCATAGCATCCCGAATTATGAGGGTTGTAAGAGAGTCCATGAACTGATGGGTGAAAGGAAAAGAGGGATGCTCGTAGGGCCAAAAACGAATCTCCAAAGTGGACAATGACGGCAGGACAAGGATGTTACTCTGGATGAGCTTGGAAATCATTCCGGCGTCTGAACCGCCTTGTTGCTCAGAAATGCGCAAGGATTTAACGGTAGGAAGAGTGATTTGAGGGAGTGCCGACGGATCAAAGGTGGTCTGGGATTGGTTCATGATCTCCAATGATTTCAGAGCTACGAGCTTCTTGAGGCAGTCCCAACGACATCTACGAAAGGAATCGCAGAGATAGTCCTCAATACTGGACCAAGGAAGAGGGAAAGAGTCGCAAGTTTCATTCCCCGTAATGCTAACACACCGAAGAGAACGTGTTTTCTGGAACGTGTTGACCGGCATGACAACAGCATCCTGGTTTGTAGAAGGCGTTATGGCTGACAATCCTTGTAGGCGGCTGAAAGAAGTGCCGGACAGTGCTCGCAAGCAAGGTCGCCGGATATAAACGGCGAGCTCTTTCCACCGCGGTGCACTAAGATCTAGCAAAGCAAATGCGGGATGTTCAGACAAAGAGGTGTCTGGCGACAATAGCGTTACAAACAGATCCATGCTCTTGGATCTTTCCAGCAAAAGGGCAACCTTTGTCATGAGAGCCCTCATGCGGAGCGCTCGATACTTTCTGAAGTCAAGTTTAATACATGTCCACAAGTGTGGAGTTGAAAGGGAGACATCTCTCCATGTCCTGGAGACGTGAGATATTGTCCACGGCGCCAAGCGAGGATCAAGGGAATCGTAGCCTTCGTCAGACCTGAAGGTTATTTCTTCCCAGTCAGGTGCACAATGGCTGAAGATTTCCCTCAGAACGTCTTGGGGCATTGAACGCATGGGATGAAGAAGCGTTTCAGCATCGTCAAAGTCGCATTCGGCGAATTGTCGTTTCTGAATAAGGGAGTCTAGCGTCTGGCGCGCTTCAATAATCTGTTGGTCCAGATTGGCCAGAGTAAAGGGTGCTCCATCTACCAATGAGCGTAAAGCTATTTTTTCGGCTTCGAGAAGCGGATCGTTGCAACCTAAGAGATCTTTAATTCGGGTGTGAGAGAGCGGCGCCGGAGAGGCTTTATGGGGAATGAAATCAACATCGGATAAGATTAAGATATTATTACACGTACGAGAATGAGTAGATTCCGAGTGGAGTGGCATCTACACAGCAGAAAGAAAGTCAGAAAGGTTGTAGGCACTGTTTTACAACCGACTGGACGAACCTTGTTTGGATTTGAGAATGAAATACCGCTTTCCCCACTAGTTAAACTTGAACATCGACTGTCGGCGCAGTGACGCTGAACAGGTGAAAATACCTGAACGGAAGAAATTGGCTTAATGGAAGACTCAGGGGGAGAAAGGAGGAGAAAGGGCGGCGAAACGGACAAATAACGTCACGTGCCATTATTTTGTTGACGCGTCTGAGACGCATCACGCGTTTGTTTCAGCTGTTTGTGGTCAGTGGCTCAGTTCTGCTTGGGCTCTCTGCGTGTTCTAAATCATAACTCCATATTCTGATACACATGCTGCATTTCGATATTAAGACTGCGTCTTCGCTCTCGCCTCTATCTCCCACACATCGACCAAAGATCTCAAAATAGCGTCTTCTATTCCCAAGCAAGAATCGCGATGGTCCACCCAAGTAGCCGAATCATATTCCCAGCCACATCCCGCACAGATCTGATTATCGTCGCGGTTCTCAACCCAAGGTCCTGGGTCACCCGAGTCTTCGTGCGAAAAAGCGAACGTCTTGATAATAGCAAACGTTGGGTCCTTGTTTGTGCGCGAAGGCGTCATGAAGAACGTCTCTTTCTGCGAGGCCGTGAGGGATTTCGGATTAGGTTCCGAGAGCGAAGGGGTGGGTGGCCCAAGGACACCGTTGATCCTTGAAAAACTGTAATCATACGTCGCGAATTGAAGACAGGTATAACTTACAGAGACCGTCCGAAAGCTTCTTTGAACGGAAGAATCTCGTGGATAGCGATAATCATATGGAATGGGTAGAAGAAATGCCACTTGCATCCTCCGGGACCGTACATTCCGCAGAGACAAGGACGCGACGTGTGTCTGGTCACTGGATTTTTGCCCGAGTTTTGCGGTGATTCCTCGTATGGTATCGGTTGCGTCGAGGTCAGAGGCGGAATGGGTGCTGGAATCTCCTTGATAGGAGTCCGAGTCTTGACTCTCGGGCTCTTTTTGTGATTCTTCAGTACGGCCATGGGAGAGTGCTAGGGAGTGGAGTGATGGAAATAGAGAGTAAAGAAAGAAGCGTCTGCGATAAACAGGAAATCCTGCGGACTATCAAATCGCGACCTTGAATTACAAACATTATTGTTTAGTGATGACAATCCGAACAAAGAAAACCGATTTTGTTGTTGTTGTTTGTAATTAGGGAAAGAACGAGCGATGTCCGTACAATGATATCATTCATGCATAGTTGGGATATATTATACTGTTGGCAGATATAAGGAAACAGTATGATATCAATACAGCAAAAAAATCCATTTCGAAGCTTGAAAGTTGAAACTACGACAATCCTAGAAATTCGCTCTGTATAAGGAACGCATCTCGAAAACGTGACAAAATCACGTACCAATGACTCCACAAGCAGCTCTTTCTCCAGAATTACCAGTCGTAGACGACAGATTCGTACCGCCCCTTCCTAGGTCGTCTGTTCCGGTATGAACGACTATGGAACGTCTGCATAGTTAAATCAGCATTCTTCCAGTGGCGACGGCTCGTAAAAAAACGTACCCGACAATGCTCAGTGGTCCATTGAGCGAGATAATCTCATCGGTAATATCCAAAATCGCAACACCGCTCGCGTCAGATTGGATATTTCCGAGATCGCCTACGTGCCTCGCGTTAATGGGATCGGTGGGGGCACCGTGTGTGGTGTTCAAAGGGTTGAAGTGGGCTCCTGCAGACGTGCAGCCGTTTGTGAGGTTGCCGGAAGTGCTAGAGATCGATTAGAAAGAAAAGGGGAAAGAAGATGCTAGGCGTACTGGACATGGAAGCCTCGTAGTGCAGAGGGATCAAGGCCTTGAATGCGCCCCGTTACATGAACGGGTCCATCAGAGCTAGATTGCTGAAATATGACGGTCCCGTTTACTGTGCTTGGTCCGCTCAGAACGACTACTGCCTGCATATATTTGTGGTTAGCATCGCTGAAGGGAGAGTTGATCATATTGTGTACCTCTGTGACAAGCACGTCCCAAGACCAGACGGGAAGAGCCACTGCAAGTGCGAGGAATAGTGCCTTGAACATCATGGCAGGAGGAGAGAGTGCGGGGTATGTTATTCGGAAGCTTCCTGTTGGGAATCTGTTCTTATATGCCTCATGCGTGAGAATTGCGGTTATGACATATGCGTGAGTTGTGATCGAGATCGCCAGCGTATCAGGGTGTTTCGACGATGTACAGCCATCCTACTTGCACAGGATGCGGGGTACGCGCGCCCGGCTTCGTCGGGGAGGCGCATGCTGAGGTGCCACTGCTTTGCAGACGACGTGGATATTTGTCGTAACTCTGGGAGAGAGGGGAACCTTGGTTAGATATTATGAAACTGCTGATATATTTATAGGCTAATACGTATTCAAACATCCCGTGGACGGCAAAAACATTGAGCTTGAGGGCGCCACTTACATCAGTCGAATTCGTCTTGGGCTTCTCGTTTCAGGAATGAAGTCTTGGTATTCGCTTGGAATCTAAGCTGGCGGGTCTGGTGAGAGAGATTCTGGACATGCGGACCGAGACGTACGAAAAGATGTACTCCCGCCTATTCCATGTACGATCTGAGCCATTTTTGCTCGTCGGAGAAGGATCTGCTTCGAAATGATATGAATCACTGCGTGCTGATAGATAGATGGCGATCTAATGGCACCAAATTGGTCGCTAGTCGTATCGTCTAAAACGTTAACAAATATCAAATCGACTACCTTCTTACTAGCAGTATTCGATGCAAACGTCAGGGCTCCACCACTGCATTGCCCGAGAAATCCGATACTGTGACTGAGGGCGGTAGACGGGAACGTGACGCACAGCTAGATTTACTCGCTCATCGCATCTTAAATCGAAAGCGATCGAATCAAACACTAAATTTGCTTTAGGTTTGACGCTAGAATTGCCGCTACCCACAACGAGAAGTAGACTGCCAGATATGTGTCGTTGTTTCCGTCCACTAGAAGATGGAAGGAGTTAAATCTACAAGTGCCGTTCAGAGCGAGGGAAGATACAGCTGAAATTGCGCTATCTGAAAGAAAGGCTGCAGGTACGAGACGGTGACCGAATAGGGGGCGGCACCACCACAGATAAGACGTGAGGATCTTGTACCAGGTAGCCCTCGTGGATCAAAGTAAAACACTGGATCCATACGGAAAGCAGAGAGATACGGGGTAGGGGCATCCGAGAATGAAGAAAAGAGGCAGAGTAAACGTTGCATTGCGTTGCAACTAGTTGAAACGACTCATGAAACGCTGCATAGCCAAGGGTTAGAGAAACCGAGAGAAATAACAAATACTAGCTATAATATGTTACGAGCCATTTGGAAGGAGAATTATAGTCCAGTAAACCAGGTGCGAAGACATTCAGCGAGGGAAGATGGGTGCGGAGTTGGAGAGTCGGTCCTCGGAGCAAGATCGGAATTTGTCGGACCGTCGGAAAAAGCAAGGCTGTTGCCAAACAAATAAACGAAAATTTGGTTCCGCGTCCTTTTCCCCTCTTTGTTCTTACCCACCATCTTCCTGGCACAATGACAGGGACTTGGTCTTCTCCTATGTGCCGAGGTTTGCTATCTTCGCTCCCGTCGCGCTCATCGTCCTCGAAGATGTTGGCTGAAGGGCTGTCGACGGAGAGGACGGCGCGTCGTGAAGATAGGCCTTGGAGGTGCGGTCCTAGTCCCTGCCTTATGCTCCTTTGAAGCTTCGTAGTCTATCGCCGCCGCGTATCTTCTCAATAGAGGTGCAGATACAGACTCTAATAGAGTGCAGGGTACTGCGCCAAGAGTGTGTGTCGTTCCCTTACAGGAACGACCCCAGCACCACTTGCTTCGTCCGTCCCCGACACGAGATATGGACACGAGTCTGCTGCCGCTGGTCAACAGCCTCGGCCGCAGTTCTCAAAAATGTGACCTTCTCATCTGCCTCTGCTACTGCTACAGTCGTACATTGGCTTCGTCGGGACTCGAGAGACACCACTTTCCGCCCACAGTTCAGCTTGTATACCTGGCTTGTCTCCTTGTATGCGCATGCCCGGGCGCAGAACGGCAGTTTTCTGGGTCGATGGTCTGGCCGCCCTCGGCAAGCTTGTGGGAGAGGGAAGTGGGACGTTGCTTTTGTGTGTTGGCTAGGCGTACGAGGATGATGGGCTCCATCGCTTTGCATGGTGGCTAATTTTTTACTTTCCGACTCTTCGCGAGTTCTTGTTGCGCCGATGGGATTACTTGTGAGTTTTTCACTTTCTGATGGTTTTTTTGCCACTCATTGTTGATAGATCTCATCAAGAGTGCGTTCCAACGCGTCAGATGGTATTGTTGTCGCCGATGTTCGTGCATATATGCATGTTATTTGCAGGTCTGTGTCCCCATACCGTACTTCCTTTCGTGTTCTCATTTTTGGAGCAGAGGATTTTAGTAGTGCTATGTATCTCGTCGAAGCCTTGTATTCTATACCTGTCGAATTCAATTACTTTCGTTGTCGCCATGCAATATCATTCGGAAGTGTACTACAGGTTGGCAACCTATGGATACCTATTGCCTCGATACATCCGGACCAGCGGGAAAGTGTTGCGTATCTGGGTCTGTTCGAAGGGAGGCCTCGCGCTTCTTTTCTTCCATTCAAACATCTCTTGCTTCGGGTACCGATGATATGCGATGGTAGGCACAGCATCAGAAGAAGCGTTCGTTCATCGTGCGTCTAATCTTCAATAGGCTCTTACTTCACGTCAATGGGAGATCGAGGAGGACGTTCTGTATCCCTTTATATCTCCTCAGACATTGACTCAAGGTATGTATAAGCAATTTAAAGTAAAGTAAATCCACTTACAGACGGCATTTAACAGAGAACCCTGCACATCGCGAAGAGGCCCCCATCCCTGCGTGTGCAGCTCTGAAGCTTTATTCTTTCAGCGTCGTTTCACACTCGATTATCTCGGATCCGCCCGCGTGGACGACATAGCTGGATTCTGTTTACTTCGCCAGTGTTCGACGTGTGTCGGTGAGAACCTAACGTCGCTAGCCATGCCCTCACCGGCAATTCTCAAACATACATTATATCCAGCATCCCTCTCTGTGCTTATTGTGCTGGGGGAGGTCGTGATTCCGGGTGACGGGTTTGTTGCGGATCGGTTGAATTTTTTTCCTTTTAGCTCTTTGAGCTGGTGCCTTATTCGTGGTGTTTTATGGTACGTCTCTCATGTTCTGAGAGTTTTCCTGTGGCTTATCGTTGACAGAGGACATACGTGTTCGACATGTCATGCTTCATCGGTCGGCTCAGCGTGTTTCCTTGACGGCTATTGGTGTGTATAGCCGTGTTAGTTGCGGGTTCGTATATTCAGCTCGAATTTTCTTTCATGTTCTCATCTGCCGCAGGAGATATATATGGTTACCTGCAGAACTTGATACATCAACCAAGGCCGGAATAGCATGTTGTATTCCAAGTTCGTCAATTTGAGTCGCTTTCTTTCCCAATACTAGCATCATCGCTGTTTGAGCGGGCCAACATACCGGAGGCTTGTACCTCTTAGGGTGGTATTTACTGCCACGATATGATTTACAAACCCGAGTCCTGGCTTTCCCCGGAAGTCAGGGCGATTCCGTGGAATAGGCCCGTTCTGATTTCCTTTGTTTCTTGGCAGCCAAGATTAGGACGGTTGTGCTGATGCGATTCGATTCTCCGAGTCCATGTCCTCGATCCGGTATGGTGCTGCGGCATACTTGGGATGACCGTGACGCTGGATGACGGCAACTCTTCCTTGCCTATCTTCGTTCATTTCGAGCTTCCTTTAACGATTGCCTGGTCCGGACCCAAGATAGGGTGGAAGCTCTTCAAGGCGGTGCTGTCCATTTCGTCCGCTAGCGACTCCTGTCCTTGGACTCGGAGTTTGAAACCGTTCCAGCACAGCTCTTAAAAGACTTCGCTCATCGTAATTCGCCTCTTCATTCTCTCCCTAAAGCTCTCCTCAACAAAGGTGCTCTACATATCCGAAGCCAATGTCGATTGTTCTTCCTGAAGAGCTCGTCGAAATCATCATCGACATGATTCGTTATGATATTATGTACCCATGGCGTGCTAAGCTTATAGCATGCTCTTTGGTGAGCAAATCATGGACTCGCCGTACCCGGTATTACCTCTTTAGAGAGATCACCATCGCGTCCTTTGATGTACCGCAATTCATGCGGCTCCTCTCAGAGCCGGCTTTGTGCACTTTCGCCCCCTTTCCCAAGAAAGTGTTCATCGATCACAGCTCAATGAATCGCAGCCCCCCAGCCAGGGTAGACTGGCTTATACACGAAGTATTACCTGCGATTTCCCTTTTTCCCATGATCGAGAAGTTGTACATCGTTTTCGGAAGTGGGTTCCTCCTCATAAAGTCGGAGAAAAAATGGAATGCCTTGCTCAAGTCCCTCTCGAAGCTGACGCGCCTCGTGGATTTGAAGCTGGTACAATGCCAATTCGTGACATACGATCATTTAGCAGGCCTGGTCTCTACGTTCACGGCACTGGAGACTCTGACATTGGAAGAATGCGAGGTTTCCAAGATTGGCCCCAAGTTGCGTTCAATGATCATACTGCCTTCTTCGCTGCACACATTAAACTTTTACGCCGGTTCGGGAAAGCCATCGAGTCCGTTTCTACGGTTGTGCAATTATTCTATTTCGTTATCGTTCTTGTACGTGACGAGGCATAAGCCGTTGCGGAATGATTCCCTCGTTTTGGCGAAATTGTTGAGAGTGGCGGGAGCATCACTCAAGAGAGTGAACATCAGGCTACCCGATCGTCTTTGTGGTGAGTGGCATCCTGTCGTGCTACTTATCTCTAAACCATCAAAGACCTAGAGGAATTTTGCCCTGGCATCGACTTGCATGAGAACACGAGTCTCGCAGATCTCAGTATCCAGTTTTCGGATGACATTCTGTATCCTGGAGATGACGTTACCCGGCATGTCTCTCAGATAATACGAAGCGTTACCTCGGTGATGATAGAAAAGATCGAGATCGATGCTCCTGTTCGCAGAGCCGAAGAACTCGATGATATTGAATGGGGTTTGCTCCTCGGCGATGGAAAATACCCAAAACTTGGACAGGTCATACGAGTGGGCGTGCAAGGCGAGTTTCGGAACGAATTAAAAGACAGAATGACTAGTCAACTAAAGCAGCTGGAGACGCCTGTTGAAATATGGATTGTTTAAATTATGCGGCATAAATCTGTTTCTCGTTGCTTCGCTGGAAGTCATTCAGATTTCAGTGCGTGAGGTATGGGTTGTCATGGTTGGAAACTATATATATTCGCACTGGTTTCTACGTAACATTTTGGCTTCGGGAATAGGAGAAAGGCGCGCTCCTGCAGACGGAGGAAGACAAGGACAGAGAAGCTTGCAGAATTCTCTGTATCAGACAAAATTAATGCATGCACAGCGTAATAGGAATACCATCTCACCTCCACAGGTTATCGTCCATAGAATGCGGTTTCGTGCCTCTCCACATCATTGCTGATAATGATTTCAACCGATGGATTCCTGGCTAGCAAGCCCTTCAGCTTTGTTGTGATCTTTTTCTTCGCCTCTGCGACTAGTTTTTCCTTCACATTATCAACAGTGATTCTCTGGAGACTCGCATACTTCTTCTGGCTGAGAATCTCGGCGATGGACTTCCAATTGAAGATGTCGAAATCGTCGACAGAGTTCGCGCAGACTGACATGATGATGTCAGTGATGGAGGAAGAGGTGATCGTTTGGAGGATGATCGGAATATGTTTATAACACTTCTCACGGGAGTAACTCTGTAGGTGAATTGGGCAAAATGCGACAGATTCAAGATTCGAGCAATATTTGATATTGTCAATGAGGGGCTCAACCGGATTGGAGACTACGAACATTAGCTCAAGTTAATAGAATCCCACAAAGGTACATACCTGTTGTAGAATCCGCTATACCTATGCTCAAATGCTTGAGTGATGTGCTAGCCCTGGATATGAGCTGTACAAGCGAAGGGTGGGTATAAAGGTTGATCTTCAGCGATGTCAACGATTCGGGGAGGGGACTGAGGAGAGCAAATTTGGTCGGAAGCGTGACTCTTGGATCTACGAGGCAGACGAGCTGCAGATGCGCAGACACTAGCGCAGCGCACGATGACAATATACCCGCCAAATCGGCCAGGTTGCGAAAATGACAACAGCTCAGAGTCAGATTTGGGACACCCTGGAGATCGCAGGGACCTAGGAGATCTTCAAGGTCAAGATCTGATGCCCAATCGAATCGGGCACCGGAGATGCGTAGCGTTTTGAGCTCTGGGAAGCTGAAAAGGAACCCTGTAGGAAGAGTATGATGGAGCCAATAGTAACCGGGCTCCAAATCATCTGGACGATCTGGATCATTTCTGACCATATTTTCATCCAGATGCAGGGTATAAACAGATGTGAAAAAAGTACAGCGAGGACTGTCGAGGAGCCTCATGAAGGACGCATGGTTGTAAAAGGAAACGGAGGTGGTTCCGAAGATATGATATCGGCTGCGTGGCAACCATGTCCTGCAAACTAATGAACAAGACAGAAGGGTGGAGAGGCGCCTATCTTTAGGGCATGGGTCACCAAAGCGGTCAAGCTCAGCCTCCTCATCGTCAGAGTCGTCATCCTCATTCCAACCGGAAGACCTTGGAGGAAAAAGATGGACTTGGTCGATAATTTTATCAACTATCTCTGGGGATAGGAAACCGCCTTGGGGGACGGCGCCTGCCATTGACTTGAACGTTCAACACTGGGTGAAATTTTCATTCAAACCGCGATCGTCATGCAGTTACGGTTCCCACGTTCACGTGATTTGAGGCGCCAAGTGTAGCGGCTACGAGTCTGCTTGCAATGACATATTTATTTCGATCTTCCAGTATGTCGAAGTTTGTACTGGTCCATTCCTAGAAAATTAAATTTGCCTTATGACTGAGGTCCTCCCAAGATTCTTCCGGATTATGAGTCGGAATGACCTCAGTGACATGGTCGCCGGTGTCGGCTGCGTGGCAGTCATTGGGCAGTCATGTTCTAGAAACCAGCGAATACGACGATAGATCTGACTTGACATCATTTCATCATGCAACATAGTCAATAATCGCGTCAATGAACTCGGCCGAAAAGCCGCCAGGGACAGCGGGTAATGACACGGGGCGTAGTTGAGAAGGGAACCGGAAAACCTGGCGGAAAAATGGGAGGTGAAATCTTCAAAGCTAAATCCTATGTGATTGAATTTGAACAAATTGAAACCGTATAATAATTTGACTCTTGAGTCGACTCTCGAGAGGCCAGTGCACTCTGATGCATCCTGGATTTACTCCTCACGTAATGGTACTCGGTATGCTTTATTGCCTTACTTATTGTATACGACGACTAATGCAGAATTTTGAACAAGGTTCAATAGTTATCAGGGAGAGAAAGGACAATTGCAGTATTACTAGCAGTCCGACCTAACACGATCACCCTGTTCGGAATTATGTCTTTGTTCACCTAAAACGTAGGTACGAATGATAATGATGTACTCATCGAATTTGTCTTTGCTGAAGGCCAAACATTCCAAACATTCCAGACATAATTAGAGCTTCCACCAGTTGTGGCTCCGTCATCTTGACATCTATCGCTGGCAGAACTGCACCATGGCTTCTCGCTCATCTCCCAAAGGACGTTCGCATTTCGAGGAGCTCCCCGCAGAGCTTATCCTCGAAGTCATTTTGCATCTCAGAGTCGCCAGCATAAAGCAGCTCAGCCTCGTCTCGTCCACCTTTCGCCACATATGCTTCCCCAGCATCTTTCGAGACGTATCCTTTACTTCCCGCAGGACTCCACGCAGATTTCTGTCCACAACGCGCAGCTGGTGCGCCGTTCCCTGCGTACGGAAGCTTTCCTTCGACGAGATCGACTCGAAAGCTGTCAAACCTCACGAGCTATTGCCGTGGTGCACCCTAGTACAGGAACTCAAAATGTGTCTTATGGCTGATCCGACGCTATACGTGCCACTTTTATCCGGACTTGGGGAGCTCAGAGTCTTCAAACTTGAACATGTTATATTCCAGTGCTCAGCAGACCTTCTCGAAGTCTTCCGAAGTATGTCATCCACGGTCAAAGACCTCAGGATTGATGACGTCCAGTTCGCATCCATATCCTACGATGAACCAATTCCGACCCACACTGGCAAGAGGATTCAAGTCGAAAAGCTTAGCGTCGGCTCCTCTCTAGTCCTGGAACTCCTGCTACGAGACGATTCTCCAGTCGGATTTTCGCATTTGGAGGTGGCAGAAACAAGGACTATAAGATCGCATCTTATAAACAAGCTCTGCCGTCTCAGCCCTCGCCTTACTAAACTTGTAATTGGGAACCCTATCTTGGAATTCAACAACGGTACGCATCTCCCTCCTCTTTCTATATGGATCCTATTTTAATCAGCTATTCCAACTTCGAATAGAACCTCTCGAGCTCAGTACCGTCAAACGGCTAATTCTCTTCTTCTACTATTTAGAGCCAGGGCTCACGCCCCTTCGCGACCTCTTAAAGCCTTCAAATACTCACTTGGAAGAATTAACCATAAAACTCCCAGTCGTATTCGTTACAGGAGAGAGCAGCGAGTGGGAGTCATTGGCGTTGGCTCTGTCACGACGACCAAGGTTGAAGAGGGTGAATGTCGTGCTATGGGAAAAGTGGCATAGAGCGTACGCGGATGTTAATGTTAGGCTCAACGAGCTTCATCGCAGACTCGAACCGCGACGCCATATGATATCGAGAATTCTAGCGAATAATCACTTCCAAGTCACGGTGGAGGGCGCTCACTGGTTTGGAGATTATTCAATACTTTCAACTATGGATAGTGGCAATTAGGACATTTTAAACAGCAATGGAATCGTTTGATGCTCAGATGTTGAACGATCGAGAGCGCATCCTTGGCACCTGCAGAAGCTTAAAATCGAGATGAATACGAAGAGAAAGTAATGACAAAGACAATTGTTCAGTCGCCCTTAATATGAACGGCGAGCTGAGGGAACTGTAATTAGTTTTAATGCAAGGTAAAATATCCCATGAAGCATATATTCAATTGCACCACTTTCGACAAGTAGGCCTTTGGATTGGACACAGAAATAACTAACAAAAAATAGCTATGCTATGTTTCCCTCCGTTCAAGGCAATCTCCCCGTCCGTACCGACATCAACAGCAACTTCATCAACCGTGACAGAGCCTTCCCTCGGCAGTTTCACTCGACCACTGGTTCCCCCCGGGGTATCAATCTCCATGAAGAACTGGTTGTCGCGTAACGTCCATCTTACACCAAACCATCCAAGCGAGGTTTCAAAGCCCCCCTCAGCGCCAGGAAGTCCGCCGTTTATGTGTGGATTAACAGACCAAGTAGCACCCCGGGGTGACGTGATGGTCAATCCAAGGACATAAAAAGTAAGAGCAGAGGTAGGCCCGGCGGACCATCCATGCGCATGCGAGGTATATGCAGCGTCATAATTGTAACCGATGTAAGATCGATACCTACAGCAGATATTAGTCAAATACAAAAACAATGAAAACAACGACGTACCAAAGAGAACCGTTGGACGTAAAACCTTCGAGTAAGGTGCTTTGTACAGACAGGTTGGTATACAACATGTATCCCCATTCCCGGTGTAGAAGGTCCAGCGCTCGGTCATCCTGGCCGGCTTCAAAATGAGCTTGCAGCTGGTATCAGAGGGAGCCGCCGTCAACTTTGGAATCACCATTTCCCAAATATCTCTCACCTCAAAGCCGCTGATAAACGGTGAGATTGTATCGGGGAGCTCCGGACATACTGGTCCTAAATCGTTCCAATTATTTCCTAGTCCTTCGCTTACAGCGGCCTTCTGATCATCCGAAAGAGTCAGATTATAAAGAACATCGAGCGAGTTAGCATCCTGGGGGTAAAGCATGGTCGTCAAATTGTCTCGATACATTCCAGCACTTTCCACCCAAAATGCCTCGTTGTACTTTACTTTGAGCGCGGTAGCATTTGCTCCCCAAGCTGCGGAGAGGAATTTGTCGCCAATGTAATTAGCTAAATCTGATGCAGTCAAAAGAACCTAAAACAATATAAGAAAGTATGTCTGGAAGGAAACACAGGACTTGCCTTGTAAAGGATCGCATTTCCCGCTGCGTTGTATCCACCGCCACCTACACGAGCCCAACTGTCCATACCGGTGACGTTCATTAACCCGGTGCTGTCTACTTTGCCTTCCAAGTAAGCAACAGCCCGAGTGTAATTAGTCCAGACGATACTAAGCCAATCATCGTCCCCGGAATAAAGATAGTAGCTGTCTACGCAACCATCAGCTTCAAAGATCGCAGTATCGCAGAACATTACTGACGCGCTCCGATGAGAGTCCAGCCGTGATAAGTGTCCGATCCTTCCAGACCGAGGAGAGGACCACAATACGGTAACATGCCTGTTTCAGGATTCATAAGAGAGAACATAGTGGACAACGAGTTTCTGGTCGGGATCAAATCGAACGTAGAGACGAATTGGGTAGGGACTGAGACGGCCATATCACCAGGCCATACTGTGCTGTACAAGAATATAATATTAAAAATGGCGCCTTGAATAGAACACCAAGATACACACCGATCACGTTTTGCACCTATAATTGACTGTTAGCATCTGGAATGACAAGTAACAAAACGGGAGGAAGCTACCATCGACAAGTATAGGGCCTGCGACCCCAATGGTCGCATTATTGAGCCAACCTGATACGTGTTAAGATGCAAAAGACGCTGGAAGCAAACAGAACATACTCCCAGCCGCAGCTAATGGAACCGGTCGACCCGTGTCGACGGGAATGGTGTTCGTCTGAACCGTGTACGCACCGGCATACCATACTGTGGATAATTGATTAGTAATTTGAAAGTTCCATCAGTCGTGCAATTAACCTTTCGTCAAGAAATCCGGATCGTGGAACACAGGATCCGAAGAATAGAAGTAACCTGTATAAGCTCTCAAATCGTCGACGTGAGGCATGAATGAAATAGCACAAGAGACATTGGAGATTTCGAGAGGTGTCTCCGAGTGAGAGGCGATGGTCAGATATCGAAAACCTCCACGTAGGGAATAGGAAGGCTGGGACCAATATCCCTTTGGTAATGGTGCAGAAACTGTGAAAACGCCATCGTAGTCCGTATCGGGTGAAGAGTCGTCTGAAGTGAGCGGGTTGACAAAGGCTGGTGACTCTGTGAAAGAAAGAGAAACTGAAGATGTATTGTCGACGGCGTCAAAGTTGAGCGAAACAAGTCCCCCGACCTAGGAGAGGGATTTGAGCACCCAGTCCTCTCTGAATAAGAAAGAAATTTCTGCACCTCGATCCCAAAGTCCAGCGTGAACCATGAATCTGGAGATAGCGTCGCACTGCCTGTATTCCCTACCAGATTCCCAGCACCAGACACGTAGCCTGCGATTTTGTATATGTCGCGTGGGTAGACGATCCTGGATTTGGGTGCGTAATTGAATGCATCCCAAGGACCACCTGGAGCGTGCGCGAAGACAGTAGGAAGAAGAAGGAAATAGAGCAGCATACGGCGGATGAGGTCGATGTTCATCGGTGCGCATTTGAGCACTTCAGCTAGGAATTAAATAGCATCCCCTTCGACCGAGAGCGAGAGCGAGAGCGAATGTAAGGATATAATGCTGAGTTACTCGGGGCATAAAACGATCTCCGGTAACAGAATCGGAATAATGTTGGTATAATCCTTGCAGGTATGGAAGCACACGATGGATCAGGACACAAATATGGAATTGACGGAGTACATGAGCAGTAGAGCACGTAGTCGATCGAGTAAAGTGAAAAGCGTAGCTAGTAGAGCGAAATTTACCGGTGCGTACACGTGACTGATTACCGGTAAATACGCGAGCCCCGAGCTCGGTACAAGCTCGGCATCTGTATAATATTGGGGATTCTAGCCAATGACCGCTTTCAAGTCACTTTGGATGGTGCTTACTGGTTTTGAGATTACTCAATACTTTCAAGTATCGATGGTGCCAATTTGAACATTTTAAACAACAAAACAATAATAGAACCGTTCGAAGCTCAGATGTTGGGCGGTCGAGAGCTCTCCTGTGTCCTTGGCAATTGCAGAACCCTGAATTTGAGACGAATACGAAGAAAAAGCAAAGAGAAAGACAATTGTGCAGTCGCCCTCTATAACTAGTTTGAACACAACATGAAATGTCCACCCGGTGTAGAAAGTCAAGAAGCGAAGAAGAAAATAGTTTGGGGGTCATAGATAGAATGATTACTGTCTGTAAAATAGAACATAACATTGAAAAAATACGAATAACGGTACGATATGTTATGACATGCTAGCATGCTAGCATGGATCAGCCATGAGACCATACCCACAAACAACAGTAACCCTCAGTTAATAACAAGAACGGGCGCAGATTGAGCCATCTCTCCGTTTGCATCGTGGACTGATATTGCAACTCGGTTACCTAAACAAATCTTGCGTCAGGATGAGCGCTGCTGGTAACTAAAAAGCTTACCATGCTCCACGGAGTCGAACGGCCACTGGTATTGCATTGTTCTCTCGTTCGTTGAACCGAGATCAGCCAGAGGAGAAGCAGAGGGGTCGTCTCCGGAGATGATGCTGTTCGGAACGAGTGAGTATCATTAACAGTGGAGGAGTAGTGCATATTTACGACTGATTAGATACGATCGACGTCGAAGCATTCAGTCTGCCGGGATCTCGGAATGCTTTTGGAATACGCACAATTGTAAAAGGCTCTACAAGAGTTAGGTCAGTACCGGTCACCGGAAGTTTGAGCTATGAATATTTACCGGATCCTCCAGACCAGCTTAATGTGGTGGTCTCACCTTTCATGATAGCATACCTAGAAGGAGGATCAGAGACAAAGTCGCGCCCAGAGAGGCGGTGATGTAGAAACGTACGGCGTGTCGACAGCAAGCTTCCCTAACACGACTGAAGAGATGTATGCGACGACAAAAGGCCACCATACAAGACTGAACATCGTTGACTTAAGGACTTGGAGGGGGAAGTTGGATAGAAGAGGGGGGATCTTTGTTAGTCGACCTAACGGTCAGTCTTTGGTTCGTTGAGGACGCGCTTTTAAAGACCTCCGATTCCGTAAGGTGAAGAACCACGGAAAGGAATGTGGCGCATTTGAGTTGGCTGTTTCCATGACTGCCAGGTCCCTGCAACGTGTCAGGATCGCCGGCAATGCAAAATTGTCTGGCCCTGTTCGGTGAAGTCAACGGGCAGGTGAAGAGATAAGACGAGACTTACCATGAGCGCAGCACTCAATTGCAGCCCGGAGGCTGGCGGTGGCGGAAAAAATGCAATGTTCATACCTTTGGATGGGTATGAACATTGGTCTGAGGCTAAGAGACCGTTCAGTGTCTGTTCCTCTCCATTTCACTGTATGATTCGTATCGGAGTGAGAAAAGCGTCGAAGGAAAAGCCCGGACACGAGATGATCCGACCATGCATCGCCTGTTTCCATTTTATACTCGCTGAGCTGAACCCAGTTTCGACGAAGAGGAGCATTCCCAGCAAGATATTATTCTCAACCGATTGGCGATGGCTTTCTGTATCGTATATAGGTATGTGAGCGTCTATTGGTTGTGGTCAGGACATACCTATAGATAATGGAAGCAGCAACTTACAAAGACGGCATCTCAATCAAGAACGCGCGCAACGAGTAATGATGATAAGACAGTACATTCTTGAAGACCGGATAACGTTAGCTCGGAAAAACACATGTCCAAGGGAATGCTTCCGCCGGACAAAGCATATGCTCAAAAGTTGGCGACAGCCACAGCGGCCAATCCGTCTATCGCACAGTGGACGACAGGAGCACATGCAATGCTATCCTCGATGACCAAAGGACAGGCTGGGTTACCTCACCTTTACAAAGAGAGTTCGTACCCAGTCCTACAATGCAAGATCAGCATGTTAGATCCTGCCTAGAATAAAACTTGCCGTTACGCGGTGTTGCCCAAAGTGACGATTATCCGAGTTTGACGGTCCGTTCTGGTGGCAGACTTCCGGAGAAATCTTTTGTTCTATAGTGCATAAGCAAACCTCGGACTGACTGCGTAGTTTCGACTCCAGCAAGCGCTCAGACTTTTGAAAGCCGACATTAAATCATTCAAGGGGAACGAGTGTCTGTAGAAACGAGTCTCATGCAAGGAAAGAAAGAAATGATTTTATCGATATCAAGATGGAAATAATAGAAGGCACACTAAATAGTGGAATGGAAAAGAAAACAGCTTTCGATTAAGCCTGTTTGGAGCAGGAACACGAACAAAGGCAATGCAAGCGTAGCATATATCCCTGTTGCATCACGATAACGTGAAAGAATTGAAGAGTTCGTCGACAGAGTAGTGGAAGCTGGACTAGATGCTGTTGACACGGTAGACCCCGAAGAAGAGGCCAATACTACTTTGGTTAATGATGAACTTGAGACAGTGGACGTTATAGGAGGTGCAATGTTATGGCTAAAAGTCGAGTAAATATCTGTGACTGGCCACAAATGAAAAACCCACAGTGCTTCAGCGTTATCTGGCTCAAATGAGCACGAACCTCCAAGCAGCGTATCCGGATTGTAAAGAGGAAGTCCATCCAAAAAGGCCCATTGATTCGACATACAATCGACCGTGAATCCCAAAGGAAGTGAATTCTTGTTGAGTAGTGAGTACACCTTGACCACGCTCATCTGTGCGAGATCCTGCAACGACAGTGAGCTATAAATCAAGACGAGCAGAGGAGAATGGATGCTCGCCTCGGCCAGATTAGTCTTCGCGTAATTATCAGGGACGCATGTATCCTTGGATACCGCTTCCTCCCACGATCCACTCCCACTAGCAGCATTGATCCCCAGCGCTCCCGAGGCTGCATGCGTAGACTGCTCATTACTGATCAGACGGTTCCTTAAAATGGCTCTAAAAGCGTACCTCGTGTATCCATGTTCGCTGGCTACACACTCCAAAGAAGTGGATCTCTCCACTACTTGTGTACGTATACGCGTGCGCGCTGCTACCTGGCATGACCATTACCGTCCCAACATATCTTCGTAAACCCACGGGAACACGAGCAAGCGCATCGATTGCGTCGTCCAGTGTGATATTCGCACTGCTGCAGCGGCAGATCGTATACGGCGAGCCACAGTCAGCAAAAGTGACGTTGACCGCATCCATGGACCCGGCGCATTCCTTGCCGCTACCGGTGTACCGTACACATGCAGAAGGGACAGAAGGGAGGGATACGGTGGTGCTTTGAGGTCGGATGAGGTTAGGTATATCGAACTTGAGACCAGATTCTTGAGCCGTGAGGTTCAGGTCGCGTCGGTGCACTACGCTGCTCGCCAAGCCGACATGTATCACGAAGGAACATAGGAAGACACTGACACGTAGCATTGAGAGATATCAACTTGCAGAGGTGGTTGATGGGCTGGTGAACCGACATCGTCGTTTATCACTGATAGGATGAAACAGAATAATCAACGGCCGCCGTTGAAAATGGTTGCTATGTGGTGGTAGTTGCTCTCTGATATTGAAATTGATCTCGGCATTTAAGAGTAAACCCTTGAAACCTGTACAGGTAACTTATGCGCATGGGAGTTCATTTCACCGTGTGTTTGAAGCCCGGTTGACTACTGAAAATTGCGGTTCAGCTCCCGACTTCAGTAATAAGATCAGCCCAGAGAATAAACCTACCTTAGAATATTCCTATGGGTGTCTAAGAGGTTTACCATCAATATTAGTTACCATAAGGGAGAGAGACAGAGAGAGATCGAAGAGATACGATGCATGGGTCCTTTTTCAAGGCAAGTGCAACGTAACTTGAAGGGAGCTATAAAGCAAAGAAAAATTTCTTCTAATGATCGTGCTGGACTAAATGTTCCGTGATACATACTGAGCGAAACAGAGGTTCAGTGCAGTTCAGTGCACGGCAAGTTGGGAAGAAGGCAATCCAGAACGGGCCATGAACGCTTCGGAAACACCCGGGACTTCGGCAACCACCGAGATCAAAATCGAAATTCCCCTGACCTAACTACGTCCACATCACCTTCGACGAAAGTCTTAATTCTTCCCCCAGAATGCAGGCTTCATCGATTCTGTATTTTAACGATTGCTGTCCTGGCTCATACTGTCTGGTGCAGTATACAGTGAGGTCTTACTGATGGCCTCGATTCACGTTTTGTTTCCCAACGCTTTTCGTCTCGTAAAGTTGTTTGTTTTACCGTATACGTGTATTATTGATTTTTTTAGGCACCCAGACGTTGTCCTGTAGATTAGTTGATCATCTCTCTATTACTAAGACAGACAGGTCATCAGTCTACTGTCCTCCGACGCAATAAAAAACCCAGGATGGACTCATCAACGAGGACGAGTCCTTGACATGCCTTGTAATGCCTCGTAACTTGGATGATGATATAGACAGTGTCATAGCGTTATAGATCCACTCCATCAGCGGATTTGAATCCAATCCCTGCGGAGCCAAACTCTTGGGTGGTCGTAATGAGTACTTTCTCGTGCATGTTCTGGGTGTTCATGATGGTTTTCCGTGTTTTTGAATAGCCCGTTTTCCTCCCGGTCTGTCCGGACACCAAATCCTACAGCGGCCGCGAGTAAGTCGTCATTTAGGGTTATTTTCATGCTGATATTTTCATGTTATAGTTACAAAGACGAAACTAGAAATGCCTACCTCCGATAAGTCTTGCAGAACCACACCCGAGTAGCAGTCACTATGCTCTCCTTCAAGCCGATATTTTGATTTCCACTTTAGAGTATGTATTTGACATCGCAAAATCGGGCTCCCATCCCTTGCGAACATTTCAGGGACTTATTTACCGATCATTTTACAGTTCCAAGCGCCGTACTTTGCGTCATTTCTTCCTACTGTCGAACTCTGCGGAGCCAACCTCATGCGGTAGTCAGTAAGTCATCGTTTAGGATCAATGAAGCCGTCGTCATGGGCTGAACCTTTTTCTAGTCACCGATTACGAGCGCAAAGTCGAACGCATGAGTATTATCCGACTCAATGAAGACATAGATCTTCTTTCAGGAGCGGCGATTACGAATTTATGATTCCTGGTCATCATCCGACTGACCCGCTTTGGTCACTGTATCTCACCTCTGGTAAATGTGTTTTATTTGCGGCAATTTATTCATCCAATCCATATTGGCGATCCCAAGAATTTCATTCCCACTTGTGATGCCGAGACCTACCAAAGAGAGTGTGAACAACTGATGAGAGGTGAAGGTATTGACGCAACACTCAATGTACAAAGTATTCTGTACATGACCTCTTCGGAATGGCGCTACCTATCATCTCATCAGAGGTGGCCGGAGCTCAGGTTTTGGAGAATGCGCTCGAGGAGCATGCCGTCATTACCGAGAAGATGTGAGGGTTTCATTATTGTCAGATGGAGGCTCACGTATAAACTCGTACAGACTAGCGTTAATTTCATATTTTCAAGACTACAGACATTCTGGTGTACAAGTTCAATGGTCTGACAACGGAATACTAGCGTCGTGAAGGCCCATCACTGCATGTGAATAACCAGGGTGAAAGCATGGTGCTACTCACTCATCAAATGGGAACCTCGGGGCACAGAGAGATGGGCCCTGCTGGCCATGGGCGTGACCATCGGATGTAGGTACATCAACTTTTGTGCCTAGACTGGTAACCACTACCTGACTTTCAAGCAAGAAAACGGGATTCTTTCTTACTTGCGGTGAGAGACACGGTAACAAGTCTGCTTGGTCACCTTTCCTCAACTAAAAATGTCCGATCAGTGCACAAGCCATGATTGAATAACGGCCCGGATGCTATTCCACCCTCTCTGTTTTCGCGGGAAAGCAGCGTTGTTGACATTGCTCTGCCGTCACTGTTTCTACTTTCCGCAGACGAGTATTTCGGCCAACAGACACATTGGTCATTGATAAAGGTTTGGAACGGGAAGATAAGTTCAAGTCGAACAGAAATCAATCCTCTAAATGACACTATATGCTTAGCCACATCTGTAGTAAGTTCTTAGATAGTAAATAACCTGGGCGGGTTTCTATACACGCTGTCGGTCCAAAGAACATACGGTACAGTTATATGGCGAGACCATGCTGCCATCTTGTGCTTTATCCTTGGGGGGGTGTTAGCTCCAAGAAAGTGCACGAATCACGATGACTGACATTCATTTGACCCATTTCACAATCATTGTTGAATGCCTCCTTCGGTATCGCGACTGCTGACATCTCTCCTTCCGTTCGCCGTGTGTCTTGTGTTGACTGGGAAGTGGTATCCCGTAAGATGCTTGTCGGGAGGCTATCATCAGTTAAAGACGTATAAGTATCCCGTCCACCCATAATCCGCATTCTCTAATTCAGCACCATAATGACGGCGTTAGCATACAGCTTGGGTATGAGCAGGGCGGGTGTCGTATAAAAAGTCTGACGAGGGAAGGCAGCAAAGAGGATAAGGCTAAGCAGAGCGATAGCAGCTGAACGTATGTGGTGTTAATCTTGTGACGACGGCAGATAGTGGAATAAATACCTGTCACAGATCCTGTTTCAATAGTGAGACAAATTAACTTTGTGACCAGCATTTGGGTGCGACGGAGATTGGTACTGCCACGGATAAGCTACGAAATAGTATCAACATCAACGAAGATAACCGGAAGAGAGAGAAGTCACAGAGCAAGTCATACAGATAGCGATGACAATATCACACATAGCAGAGGCACCGCACCAGGTCTACGCACGGTCAGCGCAAAAAAAAAGACAAGATTCTAGTTAGCTACGTACCCCGACGGCAATGGACGTCTTCCGGTTATTGAGTTTAGTGACATTGCCTGCTTGAAAAGCGTATACGCCTGTGATTATAGCTCCCACAAAACTGGTCAACGATAGCTGTAAATAGATGAGCTAGATCGCCACAGAGCGGGAGCATGACAACAAACACAAATGACGAGTATAGGGACGATTTGAGACTTCGACAATATGAAAATTCGGTAGGCATAGAAAACTTGTCCGACACAAGCAACTGTTACTCTGATAAGTAACAGAAAACGAATGGAAAATGCTGCACGTACTAGACCGCTGATGACGGGGACAGTGAGCCAATTGAAATGTATCTCAGTGAGGGCTTCGACATCCCCGAAATGGTACCCATAGACTGCAAAGACATCGTGCGTGATGAACATCGTCTGAACGAACTCGACAATGTAGATGCCATAGACGAGGTATTTCGTGAACTTTCTGTCATTTGGAAATGCCAGATAGTACAGATCTATCGAGAAGGGATCCGAAGGGATTAGAAGCATTATAAATGGAGAATGAGCCACGCACAAAGCTGCACCGAGAGGGTCCCGAAGAGTCCCCAGTGCAAAAGAGAGGCGATGATCTGAATTGCCATGTGAGGGAATGAATGGCCTAAACGCAAAAAAAAACCAACCACGGGTCCCGACCTGAAATAGGTTGGTTCAGTACATACTACTTCTCGAATACATGACAACGACGTACACTTTTGCTATGGGATAACCTGAGGGTACGGGCAGCATGTTGTGTCTGGGGTCGTTTTACCGGTCCTGAAGGGAAATAGCCCGTACATATATACTAAACAGCCATGTGAGAGAAAGAAGGACTCGAGTGCCTAAGGCTAGTCAGCATTACACCACGGTAACTGAGCTAAACGACGGTATCAACCATGTTCATTCGTGGTCAGCGCATTAATCTATCAAATTTACTTTTACGATAATCTTGTGCCACGGTTCAGAAGAACTTTTCGTCTGAAGTGAGAGAAGAAGATTTATTGGCGTATTGATATCAAGTTGAAGTTGGAACCGCCTCCGGAATAAACTGTAAGCAGAAACAGGAACACTTCTCACTCCTGGCAGGTGACTGATTCGCACCGGTAAAAATACAATCCAGACAATTGGAATATAGATGAAATTTCGACAGTCTTTTGACCACAGCAAGATAAGTCGGCTTTACCATTGAAGAGAATCCCAACTCATTTTACTTTGGTCAAAGCCTAGGTCAAAATGTCATATATTATCCACCCATTTTCGCCGCTTTTTGCCTCACCAAACATAGCTGCTTACCAGGAGTGCCGGATTCTCCCGTCACATCGTAAAACTTCCTGATCTACCACGGCGTATGATGGTTTTGTTGGTTTCAAAGAAGTCCCGTAGCTCGGAATGCGGATGGCAATCTCTGTATCCATCTCGGCTTCATGTCTTCCAAGTATACCTCAGACAATCGTACTCGGGGAGAATCAAGGAGACGTACGACTTGTCCACAGCTTGGGAGCTCATTGTATCGGAGCAAATGCAGCCATGAGAAAACGATATGCCATGTACCGAAATAGATACCCAGATTTGTCGACAGGGACGACAACATGGGGTCTATAGGGCCATAATGATCATATCTTGACCACCCCTGGGGATCAACCGAACATCAGCCGACTAGATCTTACTCTCACCGGGCTCCCTAGATTCACCGTGACAGACTGTATCACTTCAACAGTCATTGATCCCCACCCCGGTGATATGCCTTGCCATTCGATGCTACAGAGCCTTCGCAGTATGCAAATATTGGACCTCGAGGGTGAAAACAGCGCGGATTTGTATGGTCAATATGTTACTACAGCGATAGACTTTATCATTTTAAGGTGGAACATTGGGGCTTCAGACGATGATGCTAAAAGAAAGATCATGTAAAGGGCACATATGTGAGCATATAGCTTCAATAACGCACGCTAACATATACACAGCGAAGCATCGTGGCTCTTAGCTCCACCAAACCTGATCCAATGCACATCCGTAGACCTGCCTGGCTGTACCTCTCCATCTCTCGAGGTCAGAAGCAAAGCCTTGCGCATACTCGACCCTTCGAGACGGTGAAATCGTTTGCCAACGATGACGAGGGTATGCAGAGGATCTCTGAAAGCATCCTCTGCACGGTCCAGGTACCGTAGACAATGCTCTTATTATCTCTTATACCGCTAACACAAGAAAGCGCGATGGCAAGTATTGTATCAGGAGATAGCGTACTAGTCTGTCTTAGAGACTCGGTCTCTACAAGTTGGGAGACAGCCTGGCGTATCGACATCGAGGTCTTCTGAAAGCTGAAACAAATATTAAGGTGTGTGTGAGAGAGAAAGGAAGAATCCTTACCAGGCCATGTTCGCCTCGCTTTGCTCATTGACATTTATATCTACTAACACGAACGTGAGCAGATCGAGATCTGCATTTTCTTTGATTCTATCATAGAAACTGTCGGGATTCCACGCATCTGTGTAGAAAACCAGGGAGATTGACTAGCAGAAGTTGTACAGTTGGCGGCCATGGGCGCCGACTGCGTTCATTATCGATATATTGTGGGTGACAGTACCCAGGGCGCGAGCGCGAAGGACGATGCCGGTATGTGTCATTGCCCTATGAAATCTGTGTGAATCCACTACCGAAGAAAATGACGTGCCACCGATCCGAATGGATCCCCGACAATGTACAACCTACCATTCTGTATTATCTAATATTGCATTGCTTCCCGTTTTCTAGACTCGCGACGGTCCATAGAGACGTCCATGCGCCCCGCATTGTGGGCCATAAGAGGAAGAAACGCTGTGGACGACCTCGCATGAGTAAAGGACGCAAGAAACAGAAGCGCGATGCTCACCAAAATAATAGTGTTCGACCAATTCGCATGCTGGTCGAGATCTGTTTTTAGGTTACCGGTATTAAGGTTGATATAGATAGATACTAACCCTTCATTCCTGGGACCATTTATCATTGGCGCGCGCAGAAAACTGAAGAATAACGCACCCTGACTATCTCTTTCCCTATCCCTGACGAGCCACCGGTCACTCTAACGATCTTTCCCTCCAAGTCTGGGATCTGGACTGGGGTCCATCGAGAACCAGGCTTGCTAGAAAAGGTACAGAGGTTGTGCAGGGTGTCGAACATTCCTTCAAAGTACGGTCACAAGTTGATGAAAGTTGGAAAGGAAGAATGAGATCTGCCATGGAGTGTTGGCACGGTCCGGGTCCTCCGAGATCACGTGCAGAATTTCAGGTTTCCGCTTGTCCATAACTAGACCCGCGACTATCACCAGCGATTCCTCATTCTCTCTATCGGACCTAGCGATACGGTTCCGACAACACTAGGCTAGGTGATCGACAAACCAAATTGCAATCCTTCCTTTAAAGTTTACGCTCGAGCGCTGAGCTGCCGCTGAAAAGACAATAATGTGGTTTCTTGTGTATAAATAATATTTATGGAGAAAAGGTCTAGCTAGACGCATTGGTGACACTCCCCCTGGATTAACACGTTCACTTTGGCAAGGACTAGCCAATGGCAGGCAGCGCAACAACAGCGAACAAGGAGAGAGAAAGTAATATAAAACTAAGCGGAGGTTTGTACGACATGCACTCAGTCGTGAATCCTAGAGGAAATATATCATTGTTGAGAAGTATCCGAGTTAGAGAATTTGATTCTGGAAAGAGTCAGAAATTGTGAAGTCGGTGTTAAATTGTCAAAAGAGAAGACAAAGAATGTCTATGGTGGACGGGTTCACGGGAAGGAAAATATCGTTCAGATAACAGGAGATAGTAAGTGTTGAAATAGGAAATGAAACAGTAGTTATAAGCTGTCGGTTGTACTTGCTTTACCAGAGAATAAATATATACGAGGGCGGTGGAACGCACTATCCACGCTACTCACGGAGCAATGTTATGTCTAAATACCGAGTGAGTAAAATTCATAGGTAGCCATAAATAAATAAATGAAACTCACTGGGCTTTATCGTTATCCGGTTCAAACGAGCACGAATCTCCGAACAACGTAGTCATATTGTAAAGAGGAAGCGCATCCAAAAAGGCCAATTGATTCGACATGCAATCCGTCGTGAATCCCGGAGGAAGCGTATTGTTGTTGAGAAGTGAGTACACTTTGACCACGCTCATTTGCGCGAGATCCTAAGATCGTAGTGAGCCACAAGTAGCAACAAACAGATTACATGTCCACCTCTGCGGGATTAGTCTTCGCGTAATTATCAGGGACACAGGTATCTTTGGACACCGCTTCTTCCCAAGATCCACTCCCGCTAGCATCATTGATCCCCAGTGCGCCCGAGGCTGCATGCGTAGACTGTTCATCTCAGTCAGCACACTTCTGAAAACGGACGATAAATAAATAAATAGTCACCTCGTGTATCCAAACTCGTTGGTCGCACACCCCAAAGAAATGTATGTCTCCACTTTCTGTATACGCGTGCGCTTCGCTGTCTGGCATAACTATCGTCGTCCTAACGTGCCTTCGCAGACCCACAGGAACACGGGCAAGAGCATTCGTTGCGTCGTCCAGTGTGATGTTGGCATTGCTGCAACGGCATATCGTATATGGTGAGCCACAGTCAACAAAGGTGACATTGACTACATCCGTAGAAGTAGTACAATTCTTGCCAATACCGGTAATCTCTGCGCATGCAGAAGGGATGGAGGTGAGCGATACGGTGGTGCTTTGAGGTCGGGGGAGGTTGGGTATGTCGAATGTGAGATCAGATTGTTGGGCCGTGAGGTTCAGGTCGCGTTCTTGAACCACGCTGTTCGCAAAACCAACATGTATCGCTGAGGAAAGCACTAGGAATGTGCCGATGTGTAGCATGGGGGAAAGTGAATACTGGACTGGTGAGCAGACATCGTCGTTTATTACTGATAGGATGAAACAGAATAATCAATGGTCGGGAGTGGTGTGGGGGTGACTAGCGCCTGGTGGTATTTACTTTCTGCTGTTGCCTGTGGGATGTCGAAACTGATCTCCGAACTCACCACTAGTACACCCTTGAAATCAAATACAGACTCTGTGGGGACTCGTTTTGGCATGATTTTGAAGCCTGGTTCACTACCTGAAATCGGAATTCAATTGTGCACTTCACAACCACGGTTAACCCAGATAATGATGGTTCCTTTAAAGATTCTGATGGACACCTACGAGGCGCCTCATCAATATTGGTTTTCATAGGGAAAGTTGAGAGCAGAGACTGAGCCAGCACTATGGACACTGGATAGGTCATCAAGTGCGCTGGTGATAAAGCAAAACGAGTTTATTTTAATGATATTACTGGATTAATTTCTCTGTCATCCATGTTGAATAGTGTACGAACCAGAGCGAAACAAATCTTCAGTCAATTTCGGTACAAAGCAATTCGGGAAGAGGAAGCGGGCAGAGTGGGGCCAAAATAATCAATCCGGGACAAGATCAGTGAATACTGCCAAGATGATGGACGACATAGAATCCAGGGCCAGTAAGAATCGGTATTTTTGTGCTCCTAGAGGCCCGGACCCGCAGTTGGATGGACACTGGTGTACCGCACTTGGTAGTGTTACACGGCGGTGTCCACAGTGAGCACCGGTTCCAGATATCACGTACACAGTGATGGTGATCCGTACTAGTAGTACAAACTACGATATACATGACTACCATCACCTGCACGACGCCCAGGCCTAACATCCCAATCCTGGGCCAAGCACACCCACGCAGTCGCGGAGCAGAAGCGCCCAGGAGCAGTAAGCCAAGTAAAGATAATAACGGAAGAACACAATTAAGTTGGATGCAATTCTCGAATGATGAGTGTCTGACTAGGGGGGTGCGGACACCTAGGGGGCTGGACTCGTCGTCCGGACCACTGAGGTCACTTGTCGAATCACCACCTCCCTGGCCACCGGGGGTATGCCTATTCGTGGCTTCAGACTGATTGTCAGCTTTTCTGCAGGGTCACTGTAGGTATCCTCCTCACCGTTGTCCATGGTGAGGCTAGACAAATATATCCAATGCGACCAACAAGAATTGGTGTCGGCACTTGCCAGTCCAACTGCACAGTTTTAACACAGCCATCCAAAAAGATTTAGGCGAGGGGTAGACTAATGCACGACACGAAATTGATCGCCGATGGTTGTCTCGACGGACTCTGCTAGTACGACACTGTGGCGTCGTGAGCAACTTCGCTGCGATTTTGCAAGCGGGCCAGTGTGCGGAAGTTGATTATATAATTTGGAGACAATCTTTAGAGACAAATTTGGGATCTATCTGTTTCCTGAGGTGTCTATCTAGAGCTAGTAGGTAGTTAGTGCAGTTACAGTTCGAGCAGGAACCCAGTAGGACCCGAGAGCACAGAATCAAAGAAGCAAGCAATTCAAGATGATGGCGGTAAAGTTATGAGTCCTGACACGGAGACAAAATCCGTGTGTACGAAAAGCGGAAGAAGGACGAAATTGGTTTTGAGAGATATGTACAAGTTTCAGTGACCTACACATCAAGTTACGGGGACCTGGGGGGTTTAGTGAGGGGAATCAAAGGTCAAACAAACAATGTGACAGACTTCAAGCATATTCAGTGGGTTTCAAACATGTAAGATATAACTCGAAGGCGGAAACGAGGATTGAACACGCGGAGGGCATGGTGGTGGAAGAACAAGTCGCGTCGAGCCAATCGGACCGTGATATGCACGTGATGCGTGCACCTTCCTCTTTCATCTCCTCTGACTCTGAGCTCTCCTATCATCGTTCATTGCCCTCTCAGCTTGTCGCGATGCCCTTCCTCGTATTCTGCTCAGACGACCCTGGAAACATCAACCAATCTTCGTAAATCCGGAACACTGGCATTCGAGCAGCGGTAGACATAATTAATGGGCCGACGTCGTGGGTTGTGGGTAAGTGAGGGATGTTCATTCGAATTTCTACCAGGTGTCATGTACAGTCTCGACTTCTGCGAACTCATTAACGGCGACGGTCTCCACAGACAATGTCTCTACGGTTCCCATTTATTCAAGCGCTAATGTGTTCTACTCGGCTGCTCTTTTTCACTCTGGGCCTCGTACTTGCTATTGCTGTGCTTTGTTCTTGATGGTCGCGGCCTTCTTGTTCACGCATTATTTGCCTTTCTCTGGTGAGTATGATCTTCTTTGATACGCGTTATCATTCAACAGAAGTAATTCTATAGCCTTCCATGGCGATGTTCGGGTTTTTAGTAGCATCGTACCCATATAGCTCAAAATCTCAACAGGAAATCCGGTATGAAGCTGGAAGGGAGTTCTCGCTCTTTCATGAAAATGCCAAGCGAGTACACACTCATTCTTTTTCTTGATCATTGCAGAAAATCAATGTGTTATCTAGCTACGATGTTTAACTCATTTGGACACATCTGATATAAACCGAGGCATCATGCTACGCTAAAAACGGTCCATTTCGTGACTGCGTCAAGATATACCTAATCTATCATCCTCAAGTCGAAATCTCCGGCCTCCGATGCTTCTACAGCCTCCTATTGTAGCCGAAACCCCTGGAACACGAATAATTAAGTCACGACTGGCCAGTAATCAAGTTCAAGACGCACCTTTTCCAATGGCAGAGCCGTTCAGGCACTATCACTCCGAATATGTGCAGATCCAATATTTCATGGGCGAATCTGATTAAACACTGTGAAATCGGATGAGACGCAGACCACAACGTGAAGGTGGAAAGTCACTAAAATAGGCTAATGTTGCCCAAGCCGTCCTTTTCTTAGGAATCTTCACTCATTTAACGGAACAGGACTCACAGAAAAATGATCCTTAATGATACACCGTACCATACGTCGCTCCCAATGTCTAATCTCAATCTCAAATTCCGGGCGCTACAGGTGAGCTTGAGTGTTTGATCACCGAAAGGGAAAAGGATTTTACCATTTGCTTAGTGCGAACTTCCCTGTAAACGACGCGGCACATGGTCTGCAGCTAGCAAGCTGACGAGAAGAGACCCACACGGAGCCAATCTCCTGTGTCGGTACGTTGCAAGTCATTTATTTACGGTTTTCTTGCCGTTAAAAATTTCCGACCTCGAAACCTTGCAGAGCCAAGCTTCTGCCGCGTAGTAAGTACTTTCTCGTGCATTTATCCGGTGCTACTGAGGGTTTTCTGTATTGCAGAATGACTTGACCTGCCTCCTGTGGCAGTAAGTGAGTCGTCGTTTAGGGTTGGTTTAGGGTTATTTTGATGCTGAAAATTTTATCTTTCAGATACAAAAACCCAGTTAAAAAGGTGTATCTCAAAAAAAACCTTGCAAAAGCCAACCAGTTTGGCATTCAGTAAGTCTTCATTCCGAGGACATTGCGCTACCTCAGGGCTTGGACTCGACGTCGTAACCAAACCCTTTGGCGCAGTAGGTCGGTTTCAATAAACAAGTGGGCATCTTATTCACTATTTTCGCGCTTTAGGGCTCGCTTTCGTGTTCAATAATTCGGACCCCCAAGCCATACGGAGCCAAACTCATGCTAAAAAGGCAAGACCTCGTTTCTGATCCTTCGAGTAATCTTATCGTTTTACAGGCTTGAATATCATCGTATCGTACTTCGAACCTTCCGACCCTGAAAGCCTGTCGAGGCAAACAACGCGTCACTGACTCACTCGGTAAGTATTCATTCAAGATTCTTCTAGCGGTGCTTTACTCATCTCTTTTCCAGTTTCTAGACATTGTTCTTCTTGACGTCACAATTACACCTTGCAGAGCTACGCGAGGTAAGTTTTGAAACGGATTAACGACTATGTTTGTCTAAGTTTCTAAAGGTCACTAGATGCTACGAATTCGGAGCAGCAAAGCGCGCGCCGGGGCAGTGGTAGGCCATTGTTTCTTCCGTCATCAGTTTGCGAAACATTTTGGCTTTCAGGAACTGTTTTGGGTGGAAGGTCGGCCTTAGAAGATAAGTGCGGAATTGGGAGACTTTGGCAAGGACAGAAATCGGACAAACGAGGCTATGAATATGGTCAGTTTTCAGTGAACCTCAGACGAAAAATGGAGTGATTTGACCTGAGTTTAGGGCGGAACTGCTGTTTGGACAAGCGGCGTTCCTCTTTTTTTTTTTTTTGACTTGGCGAGATAGTTCGGATGATTTAGACGGGAAATGCGTTCCTTAGCACGGGGTCTACAGGTCCTGACATCCCAACACTTGCTCGACGAGGCACTTTCGTCAGGCCACCGCCACAACCACGCGACGCGTATCCGAGTTGGGGAATTTGATTCTGGAAGGAAGAGAAAACATCGTTCAAATAACAGGAGATACTTAAGGCGCGTAAGTAATGGAATAGCAAATGAAACAGCAATCATCAGCTATCGGTTGGACTTGCTTTACCAGGGAACAAATGTAAACGAGGGGGATGGAAAGAACTATCCATGCTTACATCACGGAGCAATGTTATGTCTAAATATCTAGTAAGCAAGATTCATAGTTAACCATAAATAAACAAAAACTCATGATAAGACAGTACATTCTTGAAGACCGGATAACGTTAGCTCGGAAAAACACATGTCCAAGGAAATGCTTCCGCCGGACAAAGCATATACTCAAAAGTTGGCAGCAGCCACAGCAGGCAATTCGTCTATCGCACAGTGGACGGCAGGAGCACATGCAATGCTATCCTCGATGACCAAAGGACAGGCTGAGTTACCTCACCTGTACATAGAGGGATAGTTACCCAGTCCTACAATGTAATGTCAGAATATTAGATCCTTGACTGGAATAAAACTTGCCGTTACGCGGTGTCAGTGCCCAAAGTGACGATTACCAGAAATTGACGGACCATTCAGGTCGCAGACTTTAGGAGAAACCTTTTCATCAATACTGCGTAAGCAAACCTCGAGCTGACTGCGTGGTATCGACTCTAGCAGGCGCTCGGGCCTTTGGAAGCCGACATTAAATCGTTCAAGGGGAACGAGTGTCCGTAGAAACGAGTCACATGCAGAGAAAAAAAGCAATGGTTTTATCACTATCGAGATGGCAACAATAGAAGGCACACTAAATAACGGAATGGAGAAGAAAACAGTTTTCGATTAGACCTGTTTGGAGCAGGAACACGAACAAGGGCAATGCAAGCGTAGCATAGATCCTTGTTTCATCACGGTAACGTGAAAGAATTGAAGAGTTCATCGACGGAGTAGTGGAGGCTGGACTGGATGCTGTTGACACAGTAGACCCCAAAGAAGAGGCCAATACTACTTTGGTTAATGATGAACTTGAGACAGAGACAGTGGACGTTATAGGAGGTGCAATGTTATGGCTAAAAGTCGAGTAAATATCTGTGACTGACCACAAATGAAAAACCCACAGTGCTTCCGCGTTATCTGGCTCAAACGAGCACGAACCTCCGAACAAGGTATTCGGATTATAGAGAGGAAGTCCATCCAAAAAGGCCCACTGATTCGACATGCAATCTGTCGTGAATCCTGGAGGAAGCGTGTTATTGCTGAGAAGTGAGTACACTTTGAGCACGCTCATTTGCGCGAGATCCTACAACAGTATTGAGCTTTAAGTAGCAACGAATAGACTAGACGCCCACCTCTGCGAGATTAGTCTTCGCGTAATTATCAGGGACACAGGTATCCTTGGATACCGCTTCTTCCCACGATCCACTCCCGCTAGCGTCATTGATCCCCAGTGCGCCCGAGGCTGCATGCGTAGACTGTTCATCTCAGTCAGCACACTTCTGAAAACGGACGATAAATAAATAAATAGTCACCTCGTGTATCCAAACTCGTTGGTCGCACACCCCAAAGAAATGTATCTCCCCACTACTCATATTTGTATACGCGTGCGCTCCGCTGTCTGGCATAACTATCGCTGTCCCAACGTGCCTTCGCAAACCCACAGGAACACGGGCGAGAGCATTCATTGCGTCGTCCAGTGTGATGTTGGCATTGCTGCAACGGCAAATGGTATACGGCGAGCCACAGTCAGCAAAGGTGACGTTGACTACATCCATGCTAGTAGTACAATTCTTGCCGATGCCAGTAACCTCTGCGCATGCAGAAGGGATGGAAGTGAGCGATACGGCAGTGCTTTGAGGTCGGGGGAGGTTGGATATATTGAATGTGAGGGAAGGTTCTTGAGCCGTGAGGTTCAGGGCGCGTTGGTATACCGCACTGCTCGTAGAGCTAAAGCCTATCACCAAGGAAAGCACGAGGAATGCGCCAACGTGCGGCATAGGGACAGATTATTGATGGATTGACGAGCAGACATCGTTGTTTATAACTGATAGGATGGAGCAGAGTAATCAGTGGGCGGGAGTGCTGTGAGGGTGATTAGCGCCTGGTGATATTTACTATCTGATGTTGGCTGTGAGATGCTGAGACTAAGCTCGGAACTGACCAGTAGTAAACCCTTGGAATCAAATACAGACTCTATGGGATTGATCAATCTGGGATGAGATCAGTGAATACCGCAAAGATGATGAACCCAGGGCCAGTAAGAATCGGTACTTTGTGCGCCTAGAGAATCGGACAGGCAGCTAGTTGGACACTGGCGTACCGTACTTGTCAGGATGCAACCAGGAGGTGCCACGAACGCTTCGGCGAGACTTTGGCATTTGCTGAAGCCCAACGTCAAAGTCGAAATTCCACTTGTTCCTTACCTACGTCAATATCACTTGGGTTCTAATACTAGCGTGTTGGCTTGGGATTTCGTAGTATACAAGACTGGAACCAATGACATCACTCTGCGTACACGGCCTGCCCAACTTGATCCTTCCGCACCGCACATGGATGCGCTCAACCCGCATACACCAACCCGTCACTCCGCACAACCACCCCTACCCTTGTCCGCGCGTCCACCTTGGTCTCAATCATCTCTGTGCATGCCACCCTTCCTGTCTGCATACCCTCAGTCGTTTCCCCACGCACACCCCTCCTGCCGTTGACGTTGATGTCCGCATCCACCCCGAGCTTGAGAAACGGTGTCAGTGTTTGTGCGCTAATCGTTCATGAAGACCGAGGGCGTACCTTTCCCTTATCACGCATGCCGCGAACGCCTCTCCGGTCAACGTTCGGCGTGTCGAATCGGGTTCACCGGGTATGGAAGTATGTCGCCAGTGCGAGAATGAGCAAGCCCTCAACCCGGCTATTCTTTACTTGTTTTCTACGTTATATGTACTTAGGCCGGAGTTCGGTTCAATTTATTAGTACTCACCTATCCTGGGTCGAGCATAACTGATGCTAATGTATACGCAAAGAGTCAGTGATTGGACGTTCTGAGGGGAAAGGGCGCGCACCTTGCATTACACCAAATCCAATGCTTTCATACCTTGACGCTTGCGTACCAGGGCATAACCCGCCATGAAACACTCTTCAGCAACCCGCCCTTAGTCCAGTTCTCCCAGTTGTCAGGAGTCCTGTGGCTAATGATAAGCCAACGAGTGAACAAAGTAATAATAATACGTACTTCACCGCATGCCTATCGTCCGTAGGTTGTTTCGGCTCTAACAATCCAGTTAACAAGTAGTCAGCACAGAGTAGAAAAAGTAGACGCACCTTCAAACTACCCATTCCCCTACCACGTACAGCGTCAGGACTGGGCACGATGGCGGGGGATCCTTCACCCTAAGAACACGCATTAGCCGATAGCGATGAAGGAGAATGAACATATGTTCAATACCGAATCTTGATTATGAACAGAACCGGCCTAATAAAATCTCGTGAGTATGAGCCGGTGAGAAAAGTTGTCTGCTGACTTACCTTAGCTCTCAAGCATAAGGGGAGACCGTCTGCAAAAGATCGGTCAAAAGAGTTGTGCGTGTTGAAGGCGAGACGCGTACTACCGTTGCAGAATGGGAACCTACAACGCCAACGTTGGCAGGTCTTTCACGACGAAAAGGATCAATTTTTACCTATGCTATTTGAAGAAAGCGTCGTTATATGGAACGGAAAACTGTTAAATGCAAAGGTAAGTGAATGGCTGCACGAGGACACTTAAGGAAGGCCTTACCATTGGCGTTGAATGAAGATGATAGTACAGAAGGAAACGCTGGCGGCGTGACAACGGTCACAAAATCAACAAACAAAGCACCAAGCACGGGACTTGGACGTGCCACCTTGCAATGATGGCGTAACGGCCCACCAGACGAGCGGCACCTCTGAGGTATGGATGAGAAATAGAGGCTGGGATCGAGGTGGAGGAGATAGGCAGGTAGGACAGGAAAGGATGGGATGGGGAGATAGGATTCGAAGTACATCTTGCTCAGGTTTTATACCATCTCGGAGATAAATAAGGCGGACGGGATACTGAAGACAATAAAAGAAATTAGAATAGATGGAATGCATTGACAAAAGTCCACGCTCGTACCAATAATCCGAATAGCGAATGTTCGGGGCCGCACTATCTACCGATCATTGAAAACTTTGAACATTCTTCTCATTCGTTTTCCGATATCGTAGTACTACAGGCCTAGGATGGAGACTGCCTTTTCGGACGCTTTCCAGAGCAATTGTACACGTCAAGTTCCGGGGCTGGATGCTAATGTCAGAATTTAATTCGTATGAGCGGAAGCCGGAGAATTTGAATATGTTGCGGAATTGCCGTATTGATACCGTGTTTCCTCTGAAACGAGAAGTCCTGCCATTAACTTGTAGAACGAGACAATGTACCTCTCACTAAGCAGTTGCTGCAATAAGATAACCCATTCAAATTCATGCTAAATTCGATGGGAAAAAATTGAACGGCACTCACAGAATGAATTCCCATTCTCTTCAGGGTCGTTTCTAGCAACCTCAAAAAGGAAAGCGAGGACGATGATGCCATCACAGATGAAGAGCTTTGATCCTGATAACAATGTTCCGCGAATGCTCAGAGCTGCACAAAGCAAAATATATGTCAATACAGACATAATGAAGTCGTGCAGGGTATCCAAGACCCATCAAAGCTGCAAAGAAACTCCAGAATTCGTGAATTGAGGATCTGGGTGCCACCAACTTCAATCATAGCCGCTGAGCTCTCGAAGTTTCAGAACATCATGTTATACTCGGTACATTCAACATTCCAGGCACCGTTCACCGCCCTACGACGAATACATGTCAGGAATCAAAAATACCAATATTTGATATGTGTCTACCTGACATCGGTGTCGTTACCTGCATTCTTCCAAGTTTCAGGATACAGGGCCCATGACAGCACCCTAAAATGATGGGGTAACTTTCGTAGCGTCAGCCAGTATCCATCGCTTGCCAGTGGGTATAACAAGCACCAACGACCATTATTCACCTTTAGTAGAGTATTTCCTAGGCCTAGAATGTCGATTATTTTAGGTACAGGAGGAGCAGGGGAGCATAGGGCACACGTTCTGCTTACCATTCGAAGAGACGACTCAGACGGGTTGCAGACTATGAAAATTAAGGGCAAGGAACACATCGTGTCGTGGCGTTGTCTCCATAAGGAGCACCAGGTCAATCAGGGTCTTGCACTGATGTCATAGAGTCCTCAGGAGGTGGTCAATCAGGCTCTCTTATCAGCACCGCCACAACCACGCGACGCGTATCGGAGTTAGAGAATTTGATTCTGGAAGGAAGAGAAAACATCGCTCAAATAACAGGAGATACTTAAGGCACATAAGTATTGAAATACTGTTGGAATATGACAATCTGGCATCATGCCTCTGATGTTTATTAAGGTACTGTACCATTTCAATCCATTCGTATTCGTAAAATAGCCCCGTGTCACAGGTCGCAAAGGCCTCATTCGGGAAGTTTTTGTGTCACACATCCGCAAAAATGCCAAATTTGACGCAAAATGGCCGAAATTTGGTTTTTTCCCTCGTCTGCAACACTTTTCGCACCGTTCATGATCTATTCTGGCGGCTCAATACCTCTAAAAGTTGCTCTAATTTGATCCAAAATGGGAAAAGTATTCATATTTTGTACGAATGTCTCAGTCACTAGCCATGGATTCGGTCATTCGGCACGGTACAGGGGGTAGGTAGGTGAGTAATATTACACGGCAGTGTTCATACGGTAAATGCCGGTTCCAGATATCACGTACACAGTGATGGTGATCCGTACTAGTAGTACAAACTACGATATACATGACCACCATCACCTGCACGACGCCCAGGCCTAACATCCCAATCCTGGGCCAAACACCCACGCAGTCGCCGAGAAGAAGCGCCCAGGAGCAGTAAGTCAAGTGAAGACAATAATGGAAGAACACAACTAAGTTGGATATAATTCGCGATGATGAGTATCTGATTAGGGGGGTCTGGGCACCTGGGGACAGGACTCATCATCCAGACCACTGAGATCACTTGCCGAATCACCACTTCCCTGGCTACCGAGGGACAAATATATCCAGTGCGACCAACAAGAATTGGTGTCGGCACTTGCTAGTCCAACTGCACAGTTTTAATATAGCCACCCAAAAAGAGTATAGGCGAGGGGTACACCAATACACGACACGAAATTGACCGCCGATGGTTGTCTCGATGGACTCTGCTAGTACGACACTGTGGCGTCGTGCGCAACTTCGCTGCGATTTTGCAAGCGGACCTGTGCGCGGAAGTCGTTTTAATAATTTGGAGACAATCTTTAGAGACAATTTTGGGATCTATCTGTTCTCTGAGGCGTTTATCCAGAGCTAGTAGATAGATAGTGCAGTTACAGTGTGAGCAGAAACTCGGTAGGAGCTGAGAGCAGAGAATCAAAGAAGCGAGCAATTCGAGATGATGGCGGTAAAGTTATGAGTTGACATTTGCCAAAGTCCAACGTCAAAATCAAAATTCCACTTGTTCCTTACCTACGTCGATACCACTTGGGTTCTAATACTGGCATGTTTGCTTGGGGATTTTGTAGTATTTATACAGGACTGGATATTTTGCAGTTAGCCTCATGTCGCGTTTGCTACAGTTTCTTTGTGACTCACTTCGTTCAACCTGCTATTGCGGTGCCATGCGAGACCGAACGGGCTTGATTGCGGCTTTCGGGACTTCTCAAATCAAATCAATGAACAGTTCTGTCACGGAGACAAAATACGCGAGTGTCGGAAAAGCGGAAGAACGAGGAAACTGGTTTTGAGAGATATGTACAAGTTTGAGTGACCTACACGTCAAGTTACGGGGACTTGGGGGATTTAGTGAGAGGAAATCAGAAGCCGAACAAACAATGCGACAGACTTCAAACATATTCAGCGGGTTTGAAACATGGACGATGTAACTCGAAGGCGGAACCGAGGATTGAACACACGGAGGACATGGTGGTGGAAGAACAAGTCGTGTCGACTCATGATATCGGACCGTGATATGCACGTGATGCGTGCACCTTCCTCTTTCATCTCCCCTCCCATCGTCGATCTTCGTAAATTCGGAACGCTGGCATTCGAGGGGCGGTAGACATAATTGATGGGCAGACGTTGCGGGTTGTGGGTAAGCGAGGGATGTTGATTCGAATTTTTACCAGGTGCCATGTACAGTCTCGACTTCCCCGAATTCGTTAACGGCGACAGTCTCCACAGACAATGTCTCTACGGGTCCCGTTTATTCAAGCGCTAATGTGTTCTACTTGGTTTCTCTTTTTCATTCTCGGTCTCGTAGTGCTATTGCTGGCGCTGCAGGTAAGGGTGAGCTTTTCATCACCGAAAGGGAAAAGAATCTTACCATCTGCTTAGTGCGAACTTCCCTGTGAACGGGCGGCACATGGTCTGCAGCTAACCAAACTAACGAGAAGAGACCCACGCGGAGCCGATCCCTGTGCAGGTACGCTGTAAGTCATTTATTTACAGTGTTTTTACCCTTGAAACCACTCACTTTTCATCAAATTTGAGGCCAAAATTTCCGACCTCAAAACCTTGCAGAGCCATACTTCTGCCGTGTAGTAAGTACTTTCTCGTGCGTTTATTCGGTGCTGTTGATGCCTTTCTGTATTGCAGAATGACTCACCCTGCTTCCGAGTCTTTCTTGACTCTGATTTTGCAGAGTCCGTGCCTCTGGCGGCGGCAAGTGAGTCGTCGTTTAGGGTTATTTTGATGCTGAAATTTTTATCTTTCAGATACAAAAACCCAGTTAAAAAAGTGTATCTCAAAACCTTGCAAAAGCCAACCAGTTTGGCATTCACTAAGTCTTCATTTCGAGGACATTGCGCTACCTCAGGGCTTGGACTCGACGTCGTAACCAAATCATTTGGCGCAGTAGGTCGGTTTCAATAAACAAGTGGGCATCTTATTCACTATTTTCGCGCTTTAGGTCTCGCTTTCGTGTTCAATAATTTGGACCCCCAAGCCATACGGAGCCAAACTCATGCTAAAAAGGTAAGACCTCGTTTCTGATCCTTCGAGTAATCTTATCGTTTTACAGGCTCGAATATCATCGTATCGTACTTCAAACCTTCCGACCCTGAAAGCTCGCCGAGGCAAACAACGCGTCACTCGGTAAGTATTCATTCAAGATTATTCTAACGGTGCTTTACTCATCTCTTTTCCAGTTTCTAGACATTGTTCTTGACGTCACAATTACACCTTGCAGAGCTATGGGAGGTAAGTTTTGAAGCGGATTAATGACTGCGTTTGTCTAAGTTTCTAAAGGTCACTAGATGCTACGAATTCGGAGCAGCAAAGCAGGCGCTGGGGCAGTGGTAGACCATTGTTTCTTCCGTCATCAGTTTGCGAAACATTTTGGCCTTTACGAACCGTTTTGGGTGGAGGGTCAGCCTTGGAAGATAAATGCGGAATTGGGAGACTTTGGCAAAATTGTCTGAAAACAGAAATCGGACAAACGAGACTATGAACCAACACTTACTCGATGAGGCACTTTCGTCAGTACCGCCACAACCACGCGTATCCGAGTTAGAGAATTTCATTCTGGAAGAGAAAACATCGTTCAAATAACAGAAGATCCTTAAGGCGCATAAGTAATGAAAGAGTAAATGAAACAGCTGTCATCAACTGTCCGTTGGACTTGCTTTACCAGAGAATAAATATAAATGACGGCGGTGGAAAAAATTATACATGCCACATCACGGAGCAATGTTATGTCTAAATACCGAGTAAGTAAAATTCATAGTTAGCCATAAATAAATAAAAATTCACTGCGCTTTATCGTTATCCGGTTCAAACGAGCAGGAATCTCCGAACAACGTGTTTGGATTATAGAGAGGAAGCGCATCCAAAAAGGCCCACTGATTTGACATGCAATCCGTCATAAATCCCGGAGGAAGCGTATTATTACTGAGAAGCGAGTACACTTTGACCACACTCATCTGGGCGAGATCCTAAGACGGTAGTGAGCCACAAGTAGCAACGAACAGATTAGATGTCCACCTCTGCGAGATCAGTCTTCGCGTAATTATCAGGGACACAGGTATCCTTGGATACCGCTTCCTCCCATGACCCATTCCCGCTAGCATCATTGATCCCCAGCGCTCCCGAGGCAGCATGTGTAGACTGCTCATCGTGAGTCAGTGCACTCCCGGAAAGAGGTAATTAACACTCACTTCGTGTATCTACGTTCGTTGGCTGCACACTCCAAAGAAATGTATCTCCCCACCGTTCATATACGTATACGCATGCGCACTACTACCCGGCATGACCATAACCGTCCCAACCTGTCTTCGCAGACCCACAGGAACACGGGCGAGGGCATCTGTGGCATCACCCAGTGTAATGTTGGCATTGCTGCAACGACAAACCGTATACGGTGAGCCACAGTCAGCAAATGTGATGTTGACCGCAACCATTGAAGTGGTGCACTCCTTGCCACTGCCGGTATACTGCGCACATGCAGAAGGAATGGAAGTGAGCGATACAGTGGTGCGTTGAGGTCGGGGGAGGTTGGGAATGTCAAATGTGAGACCAGATTGTTGGGCCGTGAGATTCAGGTCGCGTCCTTGCACCGCGCCGTTCGCAAAGCCGACACGTATCGCCGAGGAAAGTGCTAGGAAAGTGCGTAGCATGGGGAAAGACTACTGATGAGTTGACGAGCCGAGATTGTCGTTTATTACTGATAGGATGAAACAGAATAATCAATGGTCGCGAGTGAGAATGATTAGCATGTGGTGGTAGTTGCTCTGTTGCGAGATATCAAAACTGATAGTGGCTCACGACTAGTAAACCCTTGAAACCTGTACCGAAATGGGGAATCATTTTAGCACGCGTTTGAAGCCTGATTTACTACCAAAAAGTAGAGTTAACTCGCCACTTCAGCCATAGGCTGTACCCAGAGAATAAATGTACCTTGAAACAGTTTGATGGACTTTTACGAAATGCCTCGACAATATTGGCCTTTCATGGACGGGTCCGTCAGTGAGCTAGTAGTGAAGCAAAACGAGTTCCTTTCGTCGATAACATCGATGTGAAGTCTCTATAATCCTTGCTAAATAGTGTATGCGGCACAAGGCAAGAAGGAAGTCCAGATCTGGCTGAATAGGGCTGGAATGATCAGTCCGGAACACTGTCCGAGTGTGACTTGTCCGTGCGAGATTTACGTCGCACTGGCAGCCAGTTGCTGCTTGGGTTCTGATACTTGTGTTTTCTCGGGGACTCTGTGGTACATAAGGCGATAGCTAGTCTGATGACACGTTTGCTACAGATGTGACTCTTTTTGCGACTCACTTTGTTTGAATCCAGGCAACCAGACGCACCCGGTAATGCTGTCCCATCCGAAACCGTCCCCTGCACGTTTCTTTCCCTTAAAGTCCCTTTCCTCCATATTAGAATAAAATCCACGAAACCAACGACGTAAAATGATAACGTGCTTATGTACATTAAAACAAGTACAAAAAAAAATACAAGAACACGTTCGTTACTAGAAAAGAAATACGCCTATGACAAAAAAAAAACACGGACGAAGGCAATCAATGAAGGGGGACAATATCAAACGCGTCGCTCCGCCATCCTTCACCCTGAATCACCAACTTTTCGCGTTCTGCCGCCTTGTTTACCCATCCAGCAGGGTCGCCCTCGGACGCCAGCATGGAATCTCGTTTGTTCGCCACAACCTTGAATTGTGACGTAGACGTAGACGTACTAGCCATCGATCTGACCTCGTCCTTCTTCTTCTTGAAAACCTAAAACTCCCGTCAGGTTTATACACAAGTATGAAAGAAGTGTCTTACCTCTTGAATCGCGTCCATCTTTCCTTTGCCATCCGCTTCCTGCTCCTGTCTAACATTGACCAACACTCCATCGACGTACTCAAGACCGGTCCGTATTGCATCCCCTACCACCTTCTCAATCTCCTTCTTGACTATAGGAAGGACAACAGGTTTAATCATCCGGTACAAGAAGTCGTGCTTGAAATCGCGTAGAGAAAATTTGAGCGAATCCACCTTGACATTAACTTTCTTGATGGTAAAGACCGATGTTGGGTCGGATTTGGATGAGGACGTGAGGTGAACAGTAGCCTGCGAACCGATGTTACAACACTGAATGTGAATACGGCGACGAGACTCACAGTTAGTCCCTGTCCGCCTAAGACAATATCTGCAAGCCCTGAATCTTTCCCCTTGGGTATCCCATTTTTCTTATGGAAGTAGATGGCTACGTCTCGTAGGTCTGCCTGTATCTGAGCAAGCGTGAACTTAATCTCATGCCTATGAATACGTTGAACTTAGGTCTCGAAAACACAACGAAAACACTCACCGGCTTTCCTCGGTACCTTCTTGGATGACACTGTACGGTGAGAACGTCATATAGTTGTGCGCCTCGATAGATACGATGTTGGGGAACAGATTGCGACCGCTAAGGGTAAGGTTCTCCACGACAATATCAACAGAATCGTCCGTGTATTCGATTCTCGGAATGGGGATATAACCAACCTGGAGCAGATCAGTCAGAAGGAACACGAGGAGTAACAGGCAACCAAACCTTCTTAACCAGCATCGGTAGAACTGTCCTGCGAACGTCGCCCCAAAGTTCACTTTTGAATGTTAATGAACCATCCTCGGCAAAGAGAAGATCCTTCATGAGTCGAGTCCATCCACCGGCAAATTTCCTGTTGGTAGGATCGTCTCCAATACCATTCAGCCAACTGCCGGTGCCATTGAAAAGCCTGTCAAAGTGCTCCGTATACTTCCCATCTGTACCATAGAAGACCTTGCCCCGGTCAGTCCATTTGCGTCCGTCAGAGCCGGCCTGACGTTCGAGAATGTATCCGGGCTTAAGGAGGACACTCCGCAACCACTGTGTACCTTCTTTAAACCACGCACGTAATTCTGGATCGCGATGAGCATCGTCGGCAAGTGCGTAGAAAGGGTCAATGATGAGATCCATCGACAGGCCGTTGGCGAAGCGCTCCAGAATCGTACGCAGTTGACTGAGTGTTGATTGAAGCTGAGTCTGGAACGACATGAGAAAGGAATAGAAAAGCAACGTTCGTTCTTACGTTCTTCAAGGCCCCTCCTGCTTCACTCTGGGCACCGTTTACGATGTTTCGTCCGTGGCTTGCATACTCCTCAACGCGGTCCAGCAACCATCCTAAAGATTCTTGATAATCTTGATGTTTCTGACACTCGACTACGACCTGTACCCAAAACATCAATACACTCGAAGCAATGCCGAGGACAAGAATACCTTCTTGGCCCTCCAGATCCACTGCTCCCTTCTCTCCTTGGGGAAATATTCCTCGCTCAAAAACTGCTTGCCGTTCGATACCTTCTCGTTCGCGCGATCCTTGTACTGCTGAGGAATGGCGTTCGAAATACCATTCTGTATGCACCGTGAACTTACGATGAGGCAGCAATGAAAAATATCACGGACCTTTACTTTGCCCATAATACCTGAAACCTTTTTGTCTTCTTCATCGCTTGCATTGGTCTCAGCGTCGACAGACCTCTGGACTTCCCCAGGATCAACGATGTCAGACTGGCCGCTCACGCCGGGAAGCCGAGTTTCCAGCCTCTCCTCGTCGGGAACAAAGTGGCCCTCAGGTGCGCTCTCATCGACATTTTCGAGTTGCTTGGCGCTGGGAGCGATGACTTTAGCTGCGAGATCTCGGCCTACGATGCTGAAATCCTTGATGAGCTTTCGGAACTCAGAGTTGGTTAAGACGAGATTGACGAGCGTGCGCACATGGCGCGTAGCTGCGAAGGTGTTTTATACTCAAACTGGGAGGAGAGATGGGGTTGGCACACACCTGTATCGACGTCCTCTTTAGCCTTCTCCTTGTCAACACCTTGAACGTTCCCTGCACTAATGTCCGACATTTCCACTTCCCTTGTCTGCCAAATCCAGTTCTGTATGAGCTCGTCGCCATTCTTCTCCTCTATCATATTGCGCAGCGTCCTGAGAATCTCCTGAATGTCGGCGACGAGCTTCTGACCATCCTTCGATAGCGTCGAAGTCTCCACAGGCGGGTGGTCGAGCGCATAATTGAGCCATGAATCGAATTGCTTGTTCGTTGGTAGCCGTGCTTGTCGCAATGCTTGAATGGTACCGTATAGCTTGATCTATGCGAATATCAGCACATACAGCGTCCCGCCTAGCGCCAGACATACCTTTCTGTCAACGTCGACATCCTTAGCGACCTTATCGACAGGGTCGATGACGCTGCCTTTCTTCGGGTGCGCGCTGACGTCCTTGAGAGCGGGAGGTAGAGACATGGTGGGGATCGAAAAGTCAACTCCTCCCTTATATACCCCGACGATTCATGGCGTGTGATGACGCAGCCGACGTCATCATCCAACTTGCGAGGGATTATATAAATTTAGAGTGTGTGGCGCAAATTCGTCATCGTTGATGAGCATCTCGAATTTTAGGGCAGTAGACCTGCCAAAGCTCCAGGTGTTGCAAGCAGAGACAATTGTGTCTGACCTAGAAAGAATCATTTCTCATCAGTATCGCCCCAATGTATACTGCACAAGACATTATGAACCAGGAAAATAGACATTCAAGAGTTTTGACGCGGAACCTAGGAACAGAAAAAAATGAAGACACTCGTCTGAGGAGTGAAGTGGAAATTTTCAAAGGAGCAAGCGAAATTTCGGAGTTTCGATTAGATTTCGGCGAACGCCGATATCTCAGGCCAAGGTGTTCAAGGCGCGTCCTGCCAGGAGTCAACATGTAGCGCGTTTTTTACCTCGGTCTTGGCACGAAAGTGTGAAGGTTCCCAAGTTGTAGAAATTTTACATTGGTGCTACGCATACTATCGATGATTGAAAGCACTTGATAACTTCAAGACAGGTGAGCAACATCCATCGTGACCTCGAAATGATCGCTCGCCAGAATCGCCAATATTCTACGGCGCCACGGCTCGAGCTTGTGACGAAGCTCATTAAGCATAAGCACAGCATACTTATATATCCTACATGGCCTCGTCCATGCCATGACTTTGACTCTCTTCAACTTCGATCGCCGTGAGAGCACCAACGCCAACCATTCCCACTCGCCTCTTCCTTCTTCCATAACGAACTCTAATGGGAGTTTTATAGTTAGCTCCTCCAAGTTCGCATCCGAAGGTTTCAGGAAGGTACTGAGGGGCGTGGATCGTCGCTCCAAGACGCGGAACGAAAGAGTCAATTCTTTAATAGCTGGGAGTTCAAGATATTCTGTTATAAGGTATTAAAAGGAGGTTACACGGAAAGGGGATTGGAGATGCGTGCCATTGTTTGATTCCAAGGGAGGATCCTTGATGACCAGCTTGACAAGACGAGGGCTGAGACGGCCAAGTTTGTTGATGGTGTGCGACCCTACATTTCTCGTTTCTGCCGTGTTTAATTGCGAAAGATCAACTGGAGAGTCTTCCCGTAGCAGGAGCTCCAGAACTAGAGAGGTGCTGATACTAAGTTTCTCTAATTTTATCCTCTTTCTAGTCCAGAGGATCGGGTCGTTCTCTGATGGCATGGATGCGAACCCGACAGCACTCCCAATCGTTAAATCTTTAACCTTGGAGGATAGACTTTGCAGAAGCTCGAAAAGGTCTGCAAAACGATGGAAAGCGATCCTATCAAGTCTGACGACTCTGAGCTCCCCTAGGCCGGATAAAAGTGGCACGTATAGCCTCGGATTCGATATAGACCGCATCTCGAGTTCCCGTGCTGGGGCGCACCACTGCAATAGTGCGTATGGTTTGAGGTCTGCGTCAACGCTGTTAAAGGAAAGCTTTCGGACGCAAGGAATTGGCCACCGGAGCCGCATGTCAGTCAGGAAATCTCGTGGAGTCCTGTAGGCAGAGATCGATATGCTTTGGAAGATAGCGGGGAAGCATATGGGGCGGAGGGTAGAAGAGACGAGGCTAAGTCGCTTGATGGTAGGGACGTTAAGGTATGAGAGGATTTCGAAGACGAGTTCTACAGGGAATTGCTCGAGGGGGGAATATCCATTTGGCGAGGAGCTAGGAGGCATCCCGTATTCAGTGAATTACAACAAGCAAGGAATCCGTTCTTATACAGTCCGGGATGATGAGCCACCACGGTGGCATCAGTACCTATGCTATCATTCCAGGGAATATACCGCAAGACAATGGCGGGTGAATTGTGATTAACACCCAAACCTGTCAGTTCAAAATTAGACAATGGACTGTCGGCACATGCCGTCGTCATTTTTCCGGATCGTTGATCTGACCTCCTACGACCTGGCAGCCATCTTGTCCGGATTGGCCCTCAATCTCGAGTATCGATTTTCTCCGGACTTTTGCCCCAATGTCTGGGCCCATAGATACAGGTCCTTCTTTATCCTTCTCGGTGATAAACATGTCTTTTGTCCTGATATATAATGCTGCTTCATTGCAGATTTCGGTGGGCCGGTGGCCTGAAAGCCGTAGCTGCTTTGTGCGGTAATGTTCCGTGTAGTACGGCGCCGAGAGGGTGGAAAGCGTGGCTTTATGGACAGAAATTCTTGTGGTATAGCCATGTGTGTTATTTACATGTAGGCTTCCAGGGGACAATGAGCCGTAAGTCAAGCGCCGTCGCCGTTAATTGCCGTTAATAACCGTTAATAAGATGTTTGATCACGTGCCCCTTCATCCTAACAAGAATTTAAACGAGTTCCTTGCGTCAGCCTTGCATCGTTGCTTTCTTACAACAACAGCACACATCCATCGACCATACCTACCTCCTAACGTCCATGTCTGTTTCCACTACCACCCAACGTTGCTTTCCCACCGAACTCATCGAGGAAATCCTTAACCACGTTAATTGTCTTCCTGCCAAAGACATTCGAAGTATTCTTGACCACCCTGTAGAGGGATACAAGGGCTGGCGCGTTGCTACCCTGACCTCCTGCTCATTGGTCTGCAGAGCCTGGCTCCCACGTAGCCGATACCATCTCTTCAGATCGATCTACATCTTACACGAAGATCATGCACATTTCTTACAACTCATTGCCAGCCCATTCTGCTCCTTCATCCATTCCATCCGCACTATTTACTTTAGACGACAACACCTACAAGAGACTATATACGGTTCCGAGGACGGATTGCCAAAGGATCACCCGGAGGACTCGGAGGCGCATTGGCTGCACAAAGCACTTCCCACTCTCCCTCTCTCCGTGTTCACAAATATTCAGAAGCTGCGCATCCCTGATGCTAAGTTCAACCTAATGTCAGAGGAGGATTTTATGAACACCCTGTCCGAATTATCCCTCTCCACTACGCTCACACATTTGGCTCTCAACTCTTGCATTTTCTCTACCCTCGACCAAATTATCCAGACCCTGTGCTCGTGCAGAGCGTTAAACTCCCTGTCTCTGAGATACCCCGAACTCAAAGAAAAACCGACACCCGAAGATATGCTTTTTCAGTTTCAAAATGCTACACTCCCTACATCTTTGTCATCCCTGATGATCAGCATTCTCGAAATTTCTAATATTGATTGGATATTAAAGATCATGTCCATGGTCGGCGCATCGCTAAAGTATTTGAGTATACACATAGTGCCTAGCATGATAACCTCATATGATGATGCCAGTACGTGTCAGAATAACATGCTCCGACAGAACTGAATGAATCTTCCATATATGTAGTTGACGAGGTCTGCCGTGCAATCAACTTTGACTACCATCCGAATCTCGAGTCCATTGCATTCGATTCGCTATGTACAAGCGATTTATGGCTTGGGATGAGCACTCGGCATATTCCTGCAATCCTCCAAAAAATCACCTCGTCGTCTATCAGGGAGGTCGTTTTGACACTCAGCGATAGCTGTTTGAGCATTTATGATCCGGCTGATCTGGATGCTATCGATTGGGCATCGATCAGCGAGGTTCTTAGCCAGGACAGCTATTCGAATTTGGAGACAATACATGTGCTCAAAGTAAGTTATTGCTTATATGAGAAGGCGATGGATATAATCGCGGAACGGATGAAAGGCCTATTGACGAAGAAAAATATGTCTATAGACATTGTGCTTTGGGACGATAGAGAAACAGTCATGATGCCGCGTTTTGGATGGTAGTATGTTGTTACAATCTTACGTAGACACAGGTAGAGGGATTCTTACCGAAGATATATATAAGAGTATGTGAAGCCCAGTTCTCCTACCTTCATATTGAGTGGTGGCACGACGACGGTAAGATCGTACGATTCCTTTCAGTCTCGAGTGGTCGATCTGTTACGAATACTGGCGATGGAACTTCATAGGAGAGTGTCCAAAGTCATCAGCTGCCCTGACACAGCGATGTCGACTTCAATCTCTTCCATCATTGACGAAAGCGTAATACCTGTACAAGAGGTGCGCGGACACTTGAGTGTACGAGCTCACCAGACGTTCGGTCCGGGACTCGGCAGGTTTTGGCCCGGGTTGTGTCAAGCAGTGTCAAACAAACAAAACAATTATTTTCCGTGGCCATTCCCCTTTTTACTCTTACCACCATCTTCCTTCCGCAACGACAGGGTCTAGCGTCGTCTCCTCCATGCCTCGGCATACGGTCTGTTCTCTTGTCGCGCTCGTCATCCTCGAAGATATTGGCTGAAGGGCTGTCAATGGAGAGGGTTGCCCGTCATGAAAATAGGCTTTGTGGTGAAGTCGTCGGCCCTGCTTGTGATCCTTTGGAATTTCCGGTCTATCGATGCCGTACGCGTATCTATTGAGACGCCAGTTGCTGAAATAGGGTTGTTTTGGCGGAGCTGCAAAAGCCTGCCCTCCCGAGTTTCAGGAACTATTTGTTCGCTTCTGTGGACGACATTGCCAGCACCACTTGCTTCGTTAGTCGCCGACACGAGATTCGCTCGCGAGTTCTGCTACCTGTGGTCACAAGCCTAGGTGGTAGTTCTCAATAATGCGACGTTCTCAGCTGCCTCTGTACATGGGTACGTTGGCTTCGTCGGTGCTCGCCGCGGCGAGAGACACCACTGCGCCCACGGCTTAGCTTGCTAATACCAAGCGTATCTCTTATGTGCGTGCCCGGGCACAATGGCATTTAACGCTTGTGGGATAGCCGCATGGGACGTTGCTTTTTGGTTCTGGTTGGGCATACGAGGATGTCGAGCTCCATTGCTTTTGCGTGGTGGTCAATTTTTTGCATTCTGGTTCTTTGCGAGCCCTTGTTGCGCTGGTATGAGGATACTCGTATGTCTCTTTTTTTCAAGCAGCTCTTCTGTAGCTCATTATCGACAGATATCTTCGGTCAATGTGTTGATATACCTTAGCACGTCGGGTGGATCTCCATATGTTTTCTCCCGCAGATATCAACGCATATATCTACGTTATTTGCAGGTTCGTGTCTTTATCCTACTCTTTCTGTCATATTCTCATTTTGTAGCAGAGGATTTGGTGAGCAGTAGTGCTATGTCCCTCATCGAAGCCCTGTATTTCATACCTGTCGAATTGAATCTCTTTCTTTGCCGCTATGCAACTTCAGTCGGCGGCGTGTTACATGCAGGAAAGTAATGCATTTATCGAGGATGGATCTGACCTTTTCTTGGAACGGAGAAGCGACGTCTTCTACTTGGTTGCTGGCATCATGTGAGCTCATCCGTCTCCCATTTTAAGGCTACCTTGCTAACAATCGGATGGTAGACGACTCGCTCTTCTGCTGAATTAGAGAGTTTCATGCTACGCCATAATCTGTAGTGGTAGATCGAAGAGAGCATTCTCCTTCCCTCGATATCTGTCAAATGCGTAGTGAAGTTCATTGGTGGCGGGTCTCTTCGGGGGCTCGAGATGGCTTACATATTTGAAGGACCGCCGTAGCATCATGCATCGATGACTATCCTTGGATTCAGACAGAATCCTTGCAACCTTTGGCGCGACCATTGCTATTTTTTACTACAGGTTTCCAGGTAAAACAAAGACAAAAGGTACAATAACGCGTTATTGCCAATTGGTGGTTAACATTTCAAAAACACGTGCAGCGGCCCTTTGTTCTCTTGTACTATTTAAATACTCAAAGCTTGCGTTGCTCCTTCTACAGCGACCACAACACCTACCGACTGAATCCGCCTTCTATCTCCCATGTCTTCTACCACTACCACCCAGAGCAGCTTTCCTACCGAACTCATCGAGGAAATCCTTGACCACGTTGATTGTCTTCCCGTCAAAGACATCCAAAGTCTTCTGAGCCACTCGTCAGCGGGATACAAAGGCGGGCGCGTCGCCACTCTGGCGTCCTGCTCATTGGTCTCCAGAGCCTGGCACCCTCGCAGTCGATTTCATCTCTTCAAATCCGTCAATGTTACTCCCGAAAACTACGCGTCTTTCTTTTCGCTTCTCGCCACTCCAGGCTGTACCTTCCTGCATTCCGTCCATGAACTGTTCCTCTCCGACGAATACAGAGCTGGAACTATATACAGCGGATGCACAGACCCGGAGGGAGACGATTATTGGCTGCATAAAGTTCTACCCGACCTCGCTTTCTCCATGTTCGCGAACATCGAGCGGCTGATCATCCATGCTGCTAGGTTTGACTATATGTCGGAGGAGGGCTTTGCGCAGATGCTCATCTATCTATCTGGCCCTACCACCATCACGCACTTGGCTCTCAGATATTGCGTGTTCCCTACACAGAATCACTTGATCCAGGCATTGTCGTCGGTTAAATCGTTGGAGTCCGTTTACCTGATGTGCCCCACCCTCAGAATAATCCCGGAGGGCGAAGACCTGACTCGATCCCCAATCCCTGCGCTCTCCCCGTCATTGTCGTCGTTGATGATCAACATCGACAGTGCTATGAACATCGTTTGGATGGCCAGACTTATATCCATAGTGGGCGCGTCGCTCAAGCATTTGAGCACCGCCTTATGGGCTAGGATGGTCACGTGGGACAAGTGTAGTATGTACCAAAATAATATGCTCTGGAACGAAACTAAGCTAACGTTCTATCTAGTGGACGAGTTCTACGACGCCCTCAGTTTTGACTGCCATCCAAACCTCGAGACCATTGCGTTCGATTACCTTTCCACGAGTAAACCAGACGGGCGGAAGAAAACTCGACACGTTCCTGCAATCCTTCGAAAGATCACTTCGTCGTCTATCAGACAGATCATTTTAACCCTCTCCGACACCCGTTCGGGTTTAGAAGATCCGGAAGATCTGGATTCCGTCGATTGGGCAGCGATAAGCGAGGTTTTGAGCGAGAAAAACTATTCGGATCTGGAGAGTATTTCTGTGCTCAGAGTGGATTATCATCTGTTGGACAAGGCGATGCGTATCATCGCGAATAGGATGAAAGGATCGCTGGTCAAAAATCCGTCATTAGGTGTCGAAGTTTGGTACCAAAGGGAGGCAGTTACGTTCCCGCTTTTTGGATGGTAGTCAATTCTAAATACATATTTTTCTATGGGCCACGCCAATGCTATGAACTTTGCGGATGTATTCATCCACATCATTACCACATGAGCGTGTGGAGACCAGTCGGCATTCTCTTTCGCCTTCTCCTTGTTAACGCCTTGAACGTTCCCTGCACTAATATCCGATGTGTCCACTTCCCAAGGATGCCAAATCTAGTTTTTATCAGCTCGTCGCCGTTCTTCTCCTCTATCACATCGCATAGTGCAGATGCAATGCCAGCACCAACGGCACGAGGTTCGGTAATTCAAAGACAGACGGCATCTCGGTATCCCGGTAACATCTGAAGTGCTCTTAAGTCTAGAAAATCCACTTGAAGTTTGAACAGTTGTATACTTTTCATTTGAGATGATTAGTGGTATAATTTGGTTTCAAAATAATTTTGAAGTCAATCTTGAAGCATTGCTCTTACTTGGAAATAACTTGGAAAGTATTGCCGAATTTGCGGCCGGAAATACTTAGGCCGGAAAGGCATGTGGCTGTGAGGTTCTTTATTGGCACTTGACGACCAGGTTCCTTTCCCCAGGACACCGACGTTCTCGTCTTGGCTACATACACACAGAAAACAAGTAGAAGGATGCAGAGGTATGTCCGTATTCCATCTGAACATAATTTTCCGACCTGGACAATACCTGGACTGTTGGAATTGCGCAGCCCATTTTAGATTCTTCATTAGAACGTGCATAACGACCAGAACATTGTTGAATGCACAGTACATACCCTCAGCCTGCGCAGCATTTCCCTACGGGGTCCCGAGTTGTGATTTCTTAACATTGCAGCAATGCCGGCATGGTATCGAGAGATTGTATACGTGCCGCTGATTCCAGGTCTGTCTGAATGAACTTTCCTGTCGACTTTGGTTCAGCTATGCTGGACCGAGACGAAGAGGAAGGTCGTCCCGCCTCTGTAAAACCATACTCAGTTGCAGTGGACGACCTTCGAGTGCCAGCTATCTCACACGATGATAACAAAGAAATGAATGGCGCTCAGGGCTGGCTTGGATGGTTTACCTCATTCCGCTCTGTGTCCGCGTACCGTATGGGTGCACCGCTGTACGACATTTGTGGCGTACCCGACGACGAGAAACAGACACTCAGGGCGGATCTGTCAGGGTAGCACCGTGAGCCTCTATCTTGACATTTCGTCCCTCGATAATACTCACGATCTCGTACATGAGTCCAGACATAAGAATGTCTGTCTTCTTCGGAAGCTTCGTGGCACAAGAGTGTGCATATTTCCTTCTTTATCCAGCGAACCTTCTGACTATTTCCAGTACTGGAGTCAAATACCTAGCCATCACCAAGCGGCGAGCTTGCAGTTCGAGGGCGAGACTCGGGTCGCAATAAACGGACATCCCATTTTGCTTCGCGATGTCCTGCAGTCCCCTTTCTAAGAACAGTCAATAAAGCGTTCTCAATTTTATCCTTTCAGTGGCTACATATCTAGCTGTACAGGATCCAGCATCTTGTCAGATGAAACTTTTGATACAGGTTGTCGGTACGTATAAATGTGCCTCGTCGTCGTGATATAGTCGTCTGTTTGATCACTTTTTTCTAGGCTTTCCCCACCGCTCGCAATAAAAATTTCTTCCCGTGTGCAATTCATGTGCCTAGATGAATTGGCCGTCACTGTCGGGTAAACTCATCCGACGATCTCACTGCATAACACATTTTGCTCAATTACGGAGACTTTATTATGCTGACCATACATGCAGATGCAGATGTTCCGCTATTTTCTTGTCAAGGTGATGTCGCCCCCGTCAGAGATGAAATGCAATGTCTTTATGCAGCCGAACTTGCGGCTGGCAGTCGGTAGCAACCGCTACCGGCAACCTGTGACCATGTGCTTTTCGGAGCCGAAGCGTTCGTTGAACGCCCGTTTCTTGGAGCTATGATACCCGGACCACAAGAAGTTACTTACCTGTTATCACTGTCCCAGGATGCTGATAGTTCAACTTCTTTTGTCTGTTGTTTGATTCTATTCCGTAATATATACTGAAAATGATTAGCAGATGCGTATCGTTTACCGTGAACTCTTTAATCCGCCAAAATCGGTTTCGCCTGAACGAGAATGAAATGGAGGACTGAATAGAGCACAGACAGAGCTCCGCCCTTACTCGGGTCCTCCATTCTCTCGTAACTCTACTTATTTCTCGGTGCTTTCTCTGACTGTGATACGAATCATACGGCGAAATGGAGAGAAAGAGACGCTGAAAGGTCTCCTAGCCTCAGACGAATGTTCATGCCTGACCAAGGACATGATCATTGCATTTCCGCCGACGTCAGTCAGCCTTGCCGCAATCATGCGCTGCGCCCACAGCAAGCCCCAGCTTATCCCTTCGTCTGCCCCTTTGATTTCACCGAACAGGGCCAGATAATTTTGCATTGCCGGTGACACGGACACGTTAAGGGGACCTGGCAGTCATGGAAACTGCAGCCTCAAATGCGCCACATTTTTTCCTTGGTTCCTCCACTTTACGAAATCGAAAGTCTTTTAAAAGCGCGTCCTTCACCAGGTGCTAATCATTCGGCTCACACCTCTTCTCTCTCATCTTTACAACTCCTCCCTCTCCCTCTTAAATCAACGATGTCCAAGCTCGTCTGGTGGCCCTTCATCATCGCTTATGTTTCTTCAATCGTGTTGGGGCAACCTTCGGTCGACGCGCCGTACGTTTCTACAATATTGCTTCTCCACAGGACTCTGTTGCTAAGCTGCCTTCTAGGTATACCGTCACCAAAGGCGAGACCACGACATTGGGCTGGTCAGGCGAATCTGGTGAGTCTATACGTCTCAAACTTCCAATACCCGATACTGACCCAACTCTCGCAGAGTCTTTAAAAATTGTGCGTATTCCAGATACATTCTTTGGCCCTAGCCGTCTTATCGCGCTTCGATGCTGATTGTATTTGAGCAGTCGTACGTATCATCTTTCTCCGACGTTATCGCTGCTCACCAATACCGAATAGTATTGTCGCCGGAGATGATCCATCCGCTTCCCCTCTCGCCGTTGAAATTGGGTCGACGAGCGAGCGAATTCTCCAATACCAGTGGCCACTCAACCCCATCGATAACGGCAAGTGTCCCAGTCGCTAGCCTAGCAAGGTTCATACTGACGTGTTACTAGATACCCAAGTTGCAGCAGCAGTACATGATGTCAATGGAGAAGGGGCTCGATCTGCGCTTGTCCCTGTTATTGCCTGAAGGTGAGTGTTTTTCGTGATTATGGTCTCTAGACTGACGATACTTAGTCCTTACCAGCGTGCTAGCGTGTCAAAATATACTATACTGTTTTTCTTATTTTCTAGGTTATGTTCTATATCACAGACGCTAATCTTTCTATCCATTAAGCATCCGCAGACTACTGCTATGACTATTTATTGTTTCTTCATCGTATATACCAGCTGGACATTTTGCGGTGTAATTACTTCCACCTCGTAAAAGCATTGACATTGAATGGATGATACTTTTGCATCTCGTCATTATTCATAGGACGCGTTTTCTTTGCCTCGGTCTTGGCGGCGATAGTATGAAGGATCTAAAAGTTGAAAAAATTTTCAAGTGACGTTAAACATACATTATATATAGTAGCTTGGTACATTCAAAGCTGGTGAGCAACATCCATCGTGACCTTGAAGCGACTGTTCTCCAGGATCGCCAGTATTCTTCGGCGCTGGTGTACGAGTAGGTGACGAGATTCATTGAGAGAAAGTTGAGGGTTTTGTCTTCTAGATGGCCTTACTAATGCCACGACTTTCAATCCCTGCAACTTCGATTGCCGTGACAGCATCAACGCCAACCCCTCCCACTCGCCCCTTTCCTCCAAGATGACTTCGAATGGGAGCTTTATGGTTAACTCTTCCAAATTGACCTCCGAATGGTTCAGGAGCTTTCTGAGGGGCGTGGATCTCCACTCCGAAAGGCGGAAAGAGAGAGTCAAATGTTTGACAGCAGGGAGTACGAGAGATTCTGTGATATGTTATTTAAACAGGATTACAGGGAACGAAGGTAGAGGCACGCACCACTGTTTGATTCCAACGCAGGATCCTGGATGACCAGCTTGGCAAGACGAGGGTTGAGATAACCGAGTTTGTTGATGATAGATGGTGTTACATATCTGGTTTCTGCGACCTTCAAACGTGAAAGCTCGACTGGAGAATCATCTCGTAGGAGGAGCTCTAGGACTAGACATGAGCTGACAACAAGTTTCTCTACTTTGATCCTCCTGCCAGTCTGCGGGAGAATCGGATAGTTGTCGGAAGTGGAAACGAACTCTATAGTATTTCCAATTGTTAGATCTTTAACCGTGGCAGACAGGCTACGCAGAAGCTCGAAGAAATCTGCAACGCGTTGGAAGGTAACCCGATGAAGTTCGACGGCTCTGAGGTCCCCAAGTCCGGATAAGAGTGGCGCGTATAGCTTCGGATTGGATGCGGATAATATCTCGAATTCTCGTACTGCGGCACACCACTTCAATAGCGCCTGTGATTTGACATCCGCGCGAAGGTCGTTGAAGGAAAGTTTTCGGACGCAGGGAACTGGGCAACGGCGGCGCATGTCAGACAGGAATCTGCGCGGGGTCCTGTCACCGAAATCATAGAAGAATAGGTATTGGAAGAGAGCCGGGAAGCAGATACGGTGGAGAGTAGACGAGGCGAGACTGAGTTTTTTGATACTGGGGACATCAAGGCAAGAGACAATTTCGAGGATGAGTTCTGCAGGGAGCTCCTCGAGGTATGAGCCTCCTTTGGGTGACGAGCTAGGAGGCATCGTGAATTCGGTGAGCTACATCAGTCAAGGCAAGTTGTTCTTATATATGATGAGCCGTCACAGTGGCATTACTACTTTGCTTAAACTCTAGCAAAGTCATAGCAAAGACAAGGGCGGGTGCATTGTCAATTATAACATCGGTTTCATGCGAGCAAAGGCACAGATCCGGGATCAGACATGCAAGTAGTGGTGTTCACAAAGTTGTAGAAGTTAACGGCGTTCTAGATCTCCATCGAATTTGTCCTCCCGTAATGGAATAACGTAAAAAAACCAGTCTTGTAACTCTTGTTTCGTGTGACTGTTGAGAAATCCATCGGAGTACCTTGGTGAGAGTGACTGATTGACAATGATCGTGGTATCTCAGAATCCGAAATCGAGATCTTCAAAAAATTTTCAACGCGTCGATCACGTGCGAATTAAGGACGGCCTGCCACTTTGTATTCAAATTAACTGATACAGTTGCACAAGGTACATCCTCCCTACGTTACTAACTCCATACCGTCTGACAAGATGCTACCGAAGTACGTCAGAGCTCCTTGAGGGTTTTGCTGTTTAACTTTATGTTAAATACTATTCACTGTTTCTTGGGTTTCCTAGCTCGGGGGCAGAGCTTACATCACGATTTCTCAGTAAGTTCCTCGTGTCCAATGGGTCGAAGTACGGGGATTTAACACCATCATCACTCTGAGATTCCTGCGACGGCTTGCTCCGCATCAGAAACGCGTTCGATCTATGACGCGTCAAGTCGCGTTTGAATCACGTGTCAATTCGTGCTGGGGTGATCTGGTTTCTTTTCGGGGTTTTCGGCCCGCTCCTTCCTCTTGGTACGACAATGAACTCGTCTACCTCGACTCGCTTCGGTCCTTAATCTTATGCATAGATTCCTATGCCACATTTTCATGGTGATTCTTTGTATGCAAACAAAGGCAACCTTTTCCGCGTCCATTGTTATCATTTACGTCTCCAGGAAACAAAGACAATAATGCGGTAACCGCCGTGGCGTTGATCATATCAAGTAGCACGTCCTCTTATCTCAGTATCTAAAACTTGCTCTGCTGCTCTCTTACTACGACGCACACCCGGAGACGAGTCTATCATGGCTTCTACTATCAAAACACATAAGTACCATCTTTCCTGCCGAAATCATCGAGTAAATTACTGACCGCGTTGATCTTTTGCCTACCCGACACGTTCAACAGATTTTTGACCGTCCCTCGAAGGGATAAGAGGGGGGTCGTGTCGCTGCTTTGGCGTCCTGCTCATTAATATGCAGAGCCTGGCTTCCACGTGGCCGATATCATCTCTTCAGATCCGTCGAACTCTCACACGAAAATTATACATCCTTCTTTTCACCGGCCCATGCTGCTCCTTCTCGCATTCAGTCCAGTCCCTAACCCTCTCCGGCGATTACTGTTATGGATCTCATGACTTTTCGGGTCTGTACATGAGTCAACATACGCCTACTCTCGGCCTTCTCGGCCTTGACCTCGGCCTACCAGTATTTTCTCTTATTTTCTCTTTCTTTCTCTATTCTTCTTGCTGATACTAGAATACTGTGGAACATTGTAGAATCATAATGACTCAATGCCTTACTAGTGGCATATAAATATTGTCTTTACCGTTGTATTAGAATCTTACACTAATTTTACTCATCTTCATACGTCCACTTAACTGTGCGATATAAGCAACCCTGATCGGTTACGCCTAGCGCTTGCCAATCAACTGCTTACCGACTACGCCTAGCGCTTTTCGGAACCCCTGTCAGTTACGCCTAGCGCTTGCTGACGCCCTCGTTAACTACGCCTAGCGCTTGTTAGCACCCTTACGGATCCCTCTTGGTGGTTGGAACTCGGCTTACGGACATCCTCGCTCACGACTTGGGTTTTACTCGAGTACTCATTAACTCGTGTATTAGCACAAATACCCTGATTCTTAACAATTACGAAGTTCGAACTACTTATATATTCTGATATCACAGACCTGGAGGAGGGATGATTCTTGTGTGTGCAAAGTTCTCCTAACTCGCTCTCTCCGCATTCCCAAACATCCAGAAGCTGGCGATCCATACTGCGAAGTTTGACTATATGTCAGAGGAGGATTTTTGGCGAAGATGCTCACCTATTAATCCACTCCCGCCACTATCACACATTTGGCTGTCGAGTTTTGCGTGTTCTCCACCCACACCCACTTGGTCCAACGATTGTCCACAATTAAATCATTATGTGCCGTGATCCTACGGTGCCCCACCCTCACCTTACAACACTCCCACCGCCCGAGGACATGACTCGCTTACCAATGGCCGCACTCTCTGCATCTTTGTCGTCGCTGATGATCAATATTGACGATGTTCCAAGTTTTGTTTGGATGACAAGAACTATATCCTTGGCCAATGCATCACTCAAGTGTTTGAGCATAAATTCAAGGTCCGTTATTGGCACGTATGACGATTATAGAACATATCACAGTAGTACGTCCTGGAACGTATCAAACTCATCTCCCATCTAATGGACGAGTTCTATGACGAAAGAGGCAGTTATGATACCCCGCTTTGGAGGGTACAAGTAGGCTCGTGAGAAACGCCAAGAACACCCTATCATTCCCCCAGCGTCAGGAAGAGGAATACGTTATCAGAATTGTTTTATACCTTCTCGGCTTTCAGAAACATAGGAAGCGCCGGAAAGAATTCATATACAAGCCAATATACATGACCTGGACAGCTGTAATGCAGCATGCAGCCATATATAATATGTATACACTCTGAGATCGGACAAACACAACGGCCGGATCTAATACTAGTTGATAAATTGAAGCGCGCGATGATCAGCTCTCTAGAAGGTAAGACAGGGTACGAGAAGCGCGTGATATGAGCACCAAGGAGCATGCCATAAGAGCTACCGGAAGAGCCAAGGAATCGATACCCCGAGGGTAAGAACATCACCAAGCCCTTGCGGAAGATTCACCAGTCAGTGACATCAGCATTGGATGGCAGTGAACCTTGTTTGAAAAGAACGATAGCATCGACCGGAAGCTACGTGAGCTAGACTGGAACCAATCTGCCGTATCAAGCATGTTGTCGGCAAAGTTTGCTCCGGTAAGCAGACTGGTTCGTACCGGTACTAAGAATCATATTTGGGTAAGACGTCGAGCTGGAAACGGTGCGTATCCAGAGTACCATTGAGTTCTCATGACGAGTGTACTTGGTTTCCGAGAACTTGCATATAAAAACCTACAGATTTTGTCGTTAGTCTCGACCTCATCTTTGCAACACTGGATGCAACCTATCACCGCCGCTGCAAGTCTGGTCATCAGAAGATGAGCCGCGAGAAGAATTCAAGCGCCGGTGATAACTCGGACCAAAGGACCGCCAAAATTTCGGACTCAATTATCCCTCCACACACAAATGCCGATATGTAATGTAGTTCCCCAACGCCCAGAAAAAGATGTTTCAACTCAACAGCACGGATCTCTCAGACAAGGCCTTCCGGTCTGCAGGAATTTCAGCGAAGAACGTGAACACACACGAACAATACTCACATCGGCTTGTCGTCCGAGATCAGCGCCTCCCCCTTCTCTCGACAACATGACTCTTCGTCTCTCCCCTCTGTCTCCCCCCATAACCAAAGAATAAAATTCAAGATCGTCGAAACGATCAACGTCGACACAACAGTCAGCCCGAGGAGTAGTATGGGCGTGAGATGGGTTAAGCAAGGGTGCAGCCCAGCGAAGAAGAAAAGGATCGGATAGGAGATGAAGACGATCAGGAAGCACTCGCTCACGAACTGGAGCATCGTGGATTAAAACGAACGGGTGGCGAGCAGGAGCTCAAAAGGAGACGCTTCACAAGAGCGTCATACTTATATAGCAGAGAAACAGGCACGACCTGCATCATGAGATCAATTTTTGGTGGCTTGGCAGTCGTGGACCCTGCCGAGTCCAACAGCCTTTGAATGTCAGTGGGAAGGTTTTCATTTAGTGCTATGTGCGCCGCATCAGTGTCGGGAGAGAGAACGGAGAATGAAAAGCCCTTTTTTCGATGGCCTGCACGCCCTTGATCATGGACGTGCCAGTGCCGGAACTGCTACAGAGATAACTACCAGCAAATATCACTGACGGTCAAAAGATCAACGAAATGTCGAACACCGGCAAGAATACCAAACCTTGCAACAGAGACCAGAGATGGCCGTCACCATCAGTAACACCTCCGAGATTTTCTGATGCGAGTACGAGTGCGAGACGTCTACCCATCCCAGTAGAAACGGTGGAAACCGCACCACTATCACGACAACCTCCCGAATCGAAGGGTATAAAATCAGAACGATTCTCTGCGGATCAGAACGACTTCCACGAAACCACCCTGACTGTGAATCTTCTCCCTTCCGAGGGAAAACGCGAAACTCGTGATGGCAAATCATGCTGTCATGGGAAAGTATGCAAGTTTGTAGAAAATTGTCCCACTCAAACAGCGACGCAAGTTTGCGTGCTAGCATTGGTAAAAAGAGAATTAAACTGATGTATTGTGCTGTTTCGAATCTCGATGTAGCTAGTCATATAACTGAACTAATTTTCTGCAGAGAATGAGAATACGAAAGAACATTTGAGCGAAAGGTACGAACCTGCAGCTAACGTGGATATATGCGCCATATCCACGACGAAAACACGTTGAGGTCAGTCGATGGGAAATCATCCCAGGTTAAAAGAATCTGTCGACAATGAACTGAAGAAGAACATCTAAATCATTAAGAATGCGCCATAAATTAATAAAGAAAAGAAACGCACCAACCCAACCATAACTAGTCGCGAAGAGCCAGAAAGCATCAAATTCGCTATCTCACTTTGAAGCCTACCATCCTCGTACGCTCACTGACCCGTAGGCACCGACTAAAACCAACGTAGCGAGGGCAGATGCCGTCACACTATTGAATGATTCTGGCTAGCAGAGTCAGACCTGGGACAGTCCCTTGTCGGATACTGACGAAGAAACAGAGGCTGTCTGCGTCGTCCAAGCAAGGTAACGACGGATTCAAAAATCTCTTGAGAAGACCCGGGGAAAGACGACGACTGATGCCGAAAGAATAGATTTTCCAGAGCAGCACAAGCGGGGGTCCCGGGTGAAGACCTTAGCCTCCTTCGCAACGTAAAGGCCTCTCCATCGACAGCCCTTCATCTGACATCTTCAAGGACGATAAGTGCACCGAGAGCGAAGATATCGTACTGGATGAGGAGACTGAGACCCTGTCGTTGCGCGAGGAAGATGGTGGTGGAAAAAGTGACATTGGTGGGAAAATTGTTATTTGTTGGCAGGAGCTTTTTCACGGCCCGAGCTCCGACCTGTCTTCTTCGGACTTGCCACTTCATCCAATGCAGCGTATCTTTCGGGAGGAGGGCTTCCCTTGCAATTTTAAGGTTTTCAGGTGTCACTAAGGGTGTGCCAGGCTCCTGTTTGAGACGATACACGATCGACATTCATTGGACCATATATATAAATTCTGGGCCTAGTGAGTTTTTTTCCTGTACGTTACTTCAGTGCCTTGAGCACCGTTCGAGCCTCCTTCCGCCGGTAGTCGATATCGTCATCTATTTCGAGGATTCGACCCGTCGGCCATGTGGATTGATGGGAGACTACGGTGTATGGACCAACGGGCCGACGGGGATCGTAGCTGGCAAAAATGAATAAAAAAGTAAAGGGTAAAGTTCCGAGTCACACTGCATAGCCTGAAGCAGGTAAGTGTTACTATACATACTCATAGCAATGCGATGCTAACGGGAGTGGAAAGACAGCTGTATGTAACTATGTGTCGTGCTTGTAATGTCGAGCACCCGTGCTTCCGGCTGACACGGCAATCGATAAGTACGTCTTCGCAATCCTTCTATCTACATTTAGGTGATGTGCTCAAAACTCGCTGGCCTCATGATTGATCAGTCCCGTTGAACTATTAAAGCATCAAGAAACGAGCTGAGGTCCTCCATCTTCTTCTGGCATTACGGAAATGTCCCTCTTGTCTTCTAGAATAGACTCTACTGAACACACGACAACGCTCTCTACGAAGCCCCTGCCATCGTCATCTGATGTCGAAGTTGCGACCGATAACAGTAGTGACGAGCAAGTCTACTCCGCGTCGTTTGAACGCAAAACAATGTATGTTTCATTTTTATAGTCCTTCCGGTGCGCTATGCTCAATTTCTTGCAGGCGCCACGTCGATTGGCGGCTCTTACCCTTACTTGGAGCTCTCTACGCGTTATCTCTCATTGACAGGACGAACATAGGCGTAGCCTTTGTTACGAGCATGACTGCAGATCTCGTACGAATGCATCCCTACTACTGTGGTTACTATTCATCATCTCTACTGGAAGAGATTGGATGTTGGCGCACGCTATAACATCGTATCATGCATCTATTTCGTCCCATACATCCTTCTGTACGTCGTCGCGCTTCAAACTCGCTTGACAAGTTGATAACCATTACATTCATAGAGAACTCCCAAGCAATATGTGCCTGCGCGCGGTTGGAGCCCGTAATCTCCTGAGCGGTAGTGTTATCGCTTGGGGTGCTGTACAGCTCGCAATGGGCTTCGTTCCAACTTGGGGATATTTGTTGCTTTGCAGGACGCTTCTAGGCGTTTTCGAGGTGAATCGAATGGCATGGTTGGCTCATCTCGGTAGCTTACTCTGTATCAGGCGGGTTTTTTCCCGGCATTGGTGTTCATCGTGACGACCTGGTGAGTGGGCCAATCATGTATAACACATTGTACTTCACATTCATCGGTACTGTGTACTAGGTACAAACGCCATGAAGTTCAAAAGAAGTACGAGGTGCCCGTGTCATGGGAGCTGTTACGTTTTTGGCTGACTTTGCTGATGTAGATTGGCTGCGCTGTATATGACGTCGATCCTCGCTGGTGGATTCAGCGCCATCTTGGCATACGCTCTGAGTCTTCTTGATGGCAAAGGAGGCCTCAGCGGATGGGCGTGGATCTTTGTGAGGACTTACGCTGACGATCATCTACGTGTCTTAATTCTTGCAGATCGTCGAAGGGGCGGCCACCATGGCTTTTGGGATAGCGTCCTGGATATTTATCCCCGACTTCCCCGATAAGAATACCTTCCTTACCGCTAAACAGACTGCCCTAGTGCTGCGACGTATAGAAGAAGACCGCGGTGATTCAGTGCCTGATTCATTGAGAGGAAAGGTGCTGCTACATCTCAGTGATTGGAAAATCTGGATATTTGGTCAGTATCTTGACTCTCATCTCTGACTTTGCTGATAATAGCAATGTAGCTACGATGTATCTGTGTGTAACAGTCCCAGCGTACGCAATTGGGTTCGTCTTACAGCTTTCATGTATAATTCTTGACTGACGATGTTTATCATAGATTCTTCGCGAGTTCGATTTTGACCGGCATGGGGTGGAATGCGGAGATGTCCATGTTGCTTGTCAGTAAAATCCGATTGCTAGTTGTCACTCTGCTAATGAAAAGTTCATTCCACGAACAGACTGCTCCTCCGTACATTTTCGCGGTAAGTAGCCCGACATGAGTTTTCAATCTGACTCGCAGCTTATCAGGCGTGTTCTGCAGGCTATTAGTGTCATATGTTTCGCGTGGTTGTCGGATAGATATCGCATGAGAGCATTGTTCATCGCCATTCAAGCGCTGATGACATTAATTGGACTGGCATTGATAGGCTATGTTGACATGTCTGGTTGGCGCTATACAGGTGAGTCTGAGGAGTCTCCCGTATCTCCTTTGACTCATCTTTCATAACAGGAATATTCTTAGCTAACGCAGGCTGCTCGGCAAGTATCCCTGGTATTCTAGCATACGTATGTCGTTTGTCTTCCTCGCGCTTCAATGCTCATTTCCATGGTCAGACTTCCAATAATATCGTCTCACAATCTAAACGCGCTGTCGCTACGGCGATCACAGTCAGTTTCGGCGGAATAGGTGGGATCATTGCGACTACCATCTATCGTGATCAGGACCTCCCGCGATACCTTCCGGGGATCATCGCAACAATTTCCCTTCAAGTACTTCTATTGATTCTGCTCGGCATCATGACGGTATACTTCTGGTATGAGAACAAGAAGGTGAAGTTGCAGAAAGACGGTCAGGTCGGGGGATTTTTATACGTATTATGATTCAATCACGCTTTACCATATATATGTATCGAAGCACGTAGGATAGGATGGGATGTATTGTTACCCGACGTTGCTCCTCAACAGAAGCAAGCCGGGGTCCGTACTACAGCTCCCTGTATGTACATATAGCACTAGCTAATCGATGTAGACTAAAAACACGAGGAACAATGTTGCTACGTATCGAACCAGTCCTACGCTCTGCCGCTATGGTAAAGCTCCGTCATGAGTATTCCCTCACGACCTCGGCAGTAGGCTGATGTTTTCCTCAATAATAATTTTTTGGATGCCGGGAAGAAGCACTCCAGTCATAGGCAGTGCATCTGCTGTCGGCAACAAACCAGGGGGAGTCGTAGTGCGGCAGCCTTCTGGAACCCACCCCTCATCGTCAAGACGAGGACGTAAGAGGATACCAAAACCTTTGTAAAGGCTAAAATATGTGCATAAAAGTCAATAGCAGTAAAGAAGTAGAGCATGAACGATAGCACGAGGATACAAAACGAACACAGGGCAATCAAAAATGCATGCAGTCATAAAGACATTTTCACGTCGTCAATCCCTTGATACAACGAGTACAGTGTTTGGATCGTCTTCCGGTCTATCTTGCTGGGCGTCGAGACCATTTTCCTGGGATTCCACTAAGAGGATGGGATGGCCATACTCGCTATCTCCCTCCCGCTGAGCTTCAGGATCGTCGCTCATCGTGGAACCATGGCCTCTGGTGTGCGTCCCGAAAGTAAAGCGGAGCGAACCCAATACGACGCTTCCCTGCCAAGAGTCGTCTGGGCGGGCATGACCTGCCGCGACACGCCCTACAAGAAGCGTCGGGGCAATTCCCTATGGCATGTCTGTTAGATGTGAACCCAGAGAAAGAACACAAGCATACCCTTGTACTTCCCGCTAAGATATCAAAGTACGGTCCCAAGTAAGAATCACGAGCGTAGAACCCCACGTATAAGATTAAGCATGCCGAATAAAGAGCCGACAACTCGACCAAGACCTCGATGATGTGACGGTCAGTTCTCACTTCACCCCCCACTGCCTCGCCTCCTACAGTGACAATGCGGTAAACGATAAGAGAGGTGCACCACAAAGTTGTAGCGAGGAGGAAGGATGAATAGAGCACGAAATCAAAAGTGTAGCCGTTGGAGATGTTGAAGTCTTGGTATTCACCGATGATTTTGAACGCTGTGCTGATCTGTAAGTAGACCAGCTGAGTGAGGGATCTCGGAAATCTTACCAGTTGCGCTAAGAAGGAAAAGTATAGGCAAGAGAACGATCACCCACTGCCGGCCCCAGACTATCCAACAGCGCCAGATCTACAATCAATTAACCCGAGTTAGAAGCTGAGTCGGAAATTACTAAATTAGCATTGTAACCTCACACACCATGGTAGAATCCGCAAGGATAGTGCCGACGGCGCTTGCTGTACCCGCACTGATTATTGTCGTTACCCCAGGACTCCCATAAAACACATTTTCTGTCCAAAGATTCTGTCCGTGGTTGATAAATACAGAGCAGTGGATGTTCGACCAGATGAGGGCGAAGTCAATGGCAGTAAAAATATAGAGGAGGGTTATGTCGACGACTATGGCTCGTCCGACAGGCCGGGACTTGTTAGTGAATATGACATTCGCATCAGGTTGTATCACATGGTAGTAGACACGTTCAAGGCCTCACAGATGTTCCACAATGTGACGGCAACGACTCCGGTATATAACCCTATAGTAGAGCCCACTAATCAGATACGCATATCAAAAGTTTGAATCAACACGCGCACAAGATGACGGTCTGGATACATGGACTCGTATGTACCGTGGCTTGCCAGCGGCCGTCCTTTCAAGTCATAAGCCCTACAGGTTACAACGAAAGAAGCTCATAGAGAGTACTCGCAAGCCTGTTCGCAAAAGTTTCGTCACCTCTGTGCTAGGGAACTACCGTTCGTTATCGGGAATTGGCACCATTTGTGCTGGAGAACGATGAAGGATGAGACGCCGGATGATGTAAGTATTGAGAAGTTCTAAAAAGGGAGTTAAGTAAAAGAGAAGAGAGCCATACAAAAGCAACTTGCCTTCCTCATTGAACAACTCGTCTTCATACGGATTGCTGAGTCTGCTTGATGAGACTAGCCGCCCTCTAGGTTTTTGTGGCTTCCACTCAACGTGATACCAATAACACACTCTCGACTGCACTCCTGCGTCTTCCGGATTGCCGGACCAATTCTGTGTCATGTCGTGGTAAAAATATCGGTATTGTGGACGACGCATTGTTTGCCTCTAACAGGTGGTAACTGCCCTACATCAGTTAGCCTGTTCACCGGTTACACATTCTTCTTTACCTGCCACTTAATCCTGGAATTTCGTTGAATCGCTCCCTTGAGTGCTCTCGCCAGTACATTCCGAGGCCTTGCTCGCTGAACTAGATCCTCCTGGCTTGCAACCGATGCTTTCGTCAGGGCCAGTTTGTCAGTTTGATCTCGCTGCCTGCCACAATGACAGGGAGCGAGGGGAGTGGGCTATTCGTGGGTGAGCGGTTTCAGGTGTCCCTACGTTGTGGCTGATCAGAAGGCCAATTCATTCGGCTCAGCCACATAAACAATCGCAGAATGACCGGTAAACCGGTTCTGCTTGGCGTGAAAGATTGAAGGAGTCATAAATACTCATAGCTATGTGGTGCTAACGGGAGTAGGAAGATAGCTGTATGTAACTATGTGTCGGACTTGTAATGTCGAGCACCCGTGCTTCCGGTTGACACGGCAACCAATAAGTACGTCTTCGACCCATAATGGTGGGCACTGTACATAGCTCTCCTCTATGGATGCACCTTTACTGCAACGGGACCCTTCTATCTGCATTTAGGTGATATGCTCTAAAACTCTTTGGTTTCATGATTGGTCAGTTCTGCTGAGCTATTAAAACATCAAGAAACGAGCTGAGGTCTTCCATCTTCTTCTGGCATTACGGATATGCCCCCCTTGTTTCCTATATCAGATTCTACTGAACACACGACAACACTCTCTATGAAGCCCCTGCCATCGTCATCTGATGTCGAAGTCGCGACCGACAGCGATAGTGGCGAGCAAGTCTATTCCGCATTGTTTGAACGCAAAACAATGTATGTCTCATTTTTACAGTCCTTCCGGTGCGCTATGCTCAATTTTTTGCAGGCGCCACGTCGATTGGCGGCTCTTACCCCTACTTGGATCTCTCTACGCATTATCTCTCATTGATAGGACGAACATAGGCATAGCACTTGTTACAAAAATGAGTGCAGATCTCGTACGAATGTATCCCTACTGCTGTGGTTACTATTCATCATCCCTACTGGAAGGGACTGGATGTTGGCACACGCTACAATATCGTATCATGCATCTATTTCATCCCATACATTCTTCTGTATGTTGTCGCGCTTCAAGCTCCCTTGACACGTTTATAACTATCATGTTCATAGCGAACTCCCAAGCAATTTGTGCTTGCGCGCAGTTGGAGCCCGTAATCTCCTGAGCGGTGGTGTTATCACTTGGGGTGCTGTACAACTGGCAATGGGCTTCGTTCCAACTTGGGAATATTTGGCGCTTTGCAGGACTCTTCTAGGTGTCTTTGAGGTGAATAAAATGGCATGGTTGGCTCATCTTGGTAGCTTACTCTGTATCAGGCAGGGTTTTTCCCGGCATTGGTGTTCATCGTGACTACCTGGTGAGTGGGCCAATCATATATAGCACATTGTACTTCATATTCATCGATGCTGTGTACTAGGTACAAACGCTATGAAGTTCAAAAGAAGTACGAGGGGCCTGTGTCATGGGAGCTGTAATCTTTTAGGCTGACCTCGTTGATGTAGATTGGCTGCGATGCATGTGACGTCGATCCTCGCTGGTGGATTCAGCGCCATCTTGGCATACGCTCTGAGTCTTCTTGATGGCAAAGGAGGCCTCAGTGGATGGGCGTGGATCTTTGTAAGAACTTTACGCTGAAGATCGTCTACATGTCTTGATTCTTGCAGATCATCGAAGGAGCGGCCACTATTGCATTTGGGATAGCATCTTGGATATTTATCCCCGACTTTCCCGACAAGAATACCTTCCTTACCGCTAAACAGACTGCCTTGGTGCTACGACGTATTGAAGAGGATCGCGGTGATTCAGTGCCTGATTCATTGAGAGGAAAGGTGCTGCTACATCTCAGTGATTGGAAAATCTGGATATTTGGTCAGTATCTTGACTCTCACCTCCGACTGTGCTGTTCATAGTAGTAATGTAGCTACGATGTATCTGTGTGTAACAGTCCCAGCGTACGCAGTCGCGTTCGTCTTACAGCTTTCATGTATATTTCTTTACTGACGATATTTATCGTAGATTCTTCGCAAGTTCGATTTTGAGCGGCATGGGCTGGAATTTGGAGATGTCTCTATTACTTGTCAGTAAACTTCGGCTAGTTGTCACTCTGCTAATGTTCATCCCACGAACAGATCACTCCTCCGTACGTTTTCACGGTAAGTAGCTGGACATGAGTTTTCAATCGGACTGGCAGCTTATCAGTTTTGTTCTGCAGGCTGTTAGTGTTATATTTTTTGCGTGGTTGTCGGACAGATATCGCATGAGAGCATTGTTCCTCGCCATACAAGCACTGATGACTATAATTGGACTGGCGTTGATAGGCTATGCTGACATGTCTGGTTGGCGCTATGCAGGTGAGTCTGGCGATGTCTCTCCTGCATCTCCTTTGACTCATCTCTCATAACAGGAATATTCTTAGCTAGTGCAGGCTGCTCGGCAAGTATCCCTGGTCTTCTAGCATATGTATGTCATTATTCTTTCTCGCGCTTCAATACTCATTTCCATGCTCAGACTTCCAATAATATCGTCTCACAATCTAAACGGGCTGTCACTACGGCGATCACAGTCAGTTTCGGTGGAATAGGTGGGATCATTGCTACTACTATCTATCGTCAGCAAGATCTTCCGCGATACCTTCCGGGGATCATCGCAACAATTTCCCTTCAAGTACTTCTATTGATTCTGCTCGGCATCATGACGGTATACTTCTGGTATGAGAACAAGAAGGTGAAGTTGCAGAAAGACGGTCAGGTCGGGGGATTTTTATATGTATTATGATTAAATCACGCTTTACCGTAGGATAGGATAGGATGTTTTATTACCCGACATCGCCCCTCAACAGAAGCGTGCCGGGGTCCGTACTACGGCTCCCCGTATGTACATATAGCACTAGCTAATCGATGTAGACTAAAAAAACGAGGAACAATGTTGCTACGTATCGAACCAGTCCTACGCTCTGCCGCTATGGTAAAACTTCGTCATGAGTATTCCCTCATGGCCTCGGCAGTAGGCTGATGTTGTGCTCAATATCAATTTTTTGGATGCTGGGCAGAAGCACTCCAGTCATAGGCAGTGCATCTGCTGTTGGCAACAAACCAGGGGGAGTCGTAGTGCAGCAGCCTTCCAGAACCCACCCCTCATTGTCATAGCACGGTAGCTTTTCGACAGAATGACACGAGTCACCTGGTAATGTGAGGGACGTCTCAGAAGAAGCGTGCCGTAGGAGAAGCTTCCCTTGAGTGCTGGTACTAACCCAAAGCATCAAAGATCGTGGACGAAACAATACGTGAAGCGCGTAGAAGTTGACATTCAGATACGAGCGACAGACTCAAAGGTTAGGAACACAATAGACATCCATATGAAAACTAGCAAAATTTCCGGAAGGTAACAAATGTCGTGCCGCCATCTGTACAACCCCCGAATCCTACCTGAGACGAAAATATCAGCAGAAGGATGTATGCACCAATATCCGTGGCTGGAACACATTAAAGTGAGCCGGCGAGACAGGACATGCTAAAACCGTCCATCACTACAAAGAAAACCTGTCAACAATGAGCGTAGAAGAATGTTTAAATCGTTACGAACGCACCATAAAATGCCAAAAGTAGCAAACCAGCCCAACAATAACTCGCAAAGAGTCAGAAAACAAAAATTCACCACTTCATAAAACAATGAAGCCTGCCATCCTCGTACGCTAACCCACCAGCTCCAGGTACATACGCCGCAATCCGCAACCACAGACTCGCTGAGGTGCCAGACCATCGACCCACAAAACCAGCTGTTCGCACTCGGGCATGCACGTACAGTGCAGTTCATAGGGTATACAAGTATAACTGTGATCGCAAAAAGCACTGACCCTTGGGCACCGATTGAAACCAACACACTAGACGTAGCGAAGGCAGGGGCTATCACACTATGAATGATTCTGTGGCTAGCAGAGGCAGACCTAGGACAGACCCTTATCAGATACTGGCGAAGAAATGGTGGCTGGCTGCATCGTCCAAGCAGGGTAAAGACGGATTCGAAAATCTCGCGCAAATACCCGGCAAAAAAATCTGCAAGACAACGAATAACGCCGATAGAGTGGAAATTTCCAAGCAGCACAAGAGGGGATGACGACCTCAGCCTCCTTCACAACGCGTAGCCCTCTCCGTCGACTGCCCTTCAGCCAACATCTTCGAGGACGACGAGCGCGACGAGAGCAAGGATATCTTGCTAAGGAGAAGACCGAGACCCCACCATTGTGCAAGGAAGATGGTGGTAAGAAGGACAAGAGAAAAGGGGTTTGTGGCGGGAAACCCATTGTCCTTTGTTTGTTTGGCAGAGGCCCCTCCGACCCAACTCTTTGCACAGCCCCCCGCTAAAGTCGCTCAGAGTCGCTCATTCCTGGCACTGTGTCTCAAAAGGGCCCCTTGTGCGTATATGCTCCCACTGTCTCTGTGCGTCTTCGCAATTTAAGCTGCTTCTTTGTCTGGTAGTGCTAGACCAGTACGCTTGTAAACCGGAATTACTCAAAAATACTCGGGATCCTCTTGTTGTGCTCGTAGTCTCGGTTGCTGAATCTGATACTCTCTTGATATCGGTATCTGCCCACTGTAATCTCCTCCCTCGTGGATTTTTCTATGCCGAATCCGACACAATGGCGGATAAGTCAGCCGTCGATGACGTTCATGTCTCTTTGCAATTGGAGTGTCAGATTTCTCAGTGACGCCGCACGAAACTCAGTATGTTTGCAATTTATGACCTTCATCTTTACTTACGGTACCACCAGTGGTGCCCCGAGGAAATGACATCAATGGTTTCCGCTCGTACATATAACGCCTTCGAGGAACCATGAGTCGTACAAGCTATAAGACATTGACTAAGGATAAGTGGAATCGTATGGAGTTGGACCTAGTACGTTTCAGCCCTGGTGAAAAAACGTGCCCTCACAAGATATGCAGATTTGTGGATTTTGATGCCAGATGACCCCGATGAATTGATACCTGAAACAAAGCTCTCGGGATGGATTCGACTGGATACTGACGTCCGTTCAGTTCTGTCTTTGCGGCCTGAGTCTGAACAAGTATCCACCTATAAATAAAACAGCACCTTCACAAGTTTCATAATGTTCTGACTGGTAAGGCCTTCATTCTCCAGCAGATACCACTAATATTGACACCGACGTAAAGCGGTGGCGGCAGTACGCGCCTGCCCGACGACGCCGTGGACCTATACTTGTATCCTGTGTTAGAGGAGATGCTGTACGTCGTCGAAACACTCCGCCAAGACTCTGATACGCTGAATTTAACCGGGATCGATCGGGACTCATATGTATGTCATGAGTGCAATTCTCACGCATGAGGCATATAAAGTATAGACCGAACATACATGCAAGATCCACAGTCTATACCAATCTCCTTCCACGATGTTCAAGTCACTCTTACTCGCACTTGCACTCGCCCTTCCCGTCTTCTCCTCGGATTCTTGCAGCGTCACACAGGTGCCCAACCAATCCACTGCTCCTCTTCTAATGCTGACCACATACATATATAGGCTGTCGCCGTCCTCGGTGGTGGAACAGGTGCAGTCAGCGGGATTGTCGTATTCGCGCAAAACGAATGTGGCGCCGTTACAGTAACGGGGTTCATTCAAGGCCTTGATTCTTCTGCACTACGAGGCCTCCACGTTCAGTACGCCCAACAGTCTCTTTCCCCCTTGCTTTCCTAACCGTTTTATTAGCGACTCCGGGAACCTCACCGATGGTTGCACGTCTACAGGAGAGCATTACAATCCCTTCAACACCACCCATGGTGGTCTTGACGATCCTGAGGATAAGAAACATGTAGGCGATTTCGGAAATGTCAAATCCGATGCAAACGGTGTTGCGAAGTTGGATTTAACTGTCAACACCCTCACACTCAATGGACCACAGAGCATCGTTGGGTACGTTTTGTTGCACGACGTCACTGGGTGGATTCTGATCAAATTGCTCAGGCGTGCTATTGTTGTCCACACGGGTACAGATGATTTGGGCAAAGGTGGTACTCCCTTGTCGCTTGTAAATGGCAATTCCGGGGCCAGAGCTGCGTGCGGTGTTATTGGTGTTCTTGCTGAGGTTTTTCAAATCGTGGCTCTGACGTAGAGAACCCTTCCAGGATTGGCGTAGTCTGTATCTTCTCAACGGACTTCTTGTTTTATGAATATGTCACTGTTACCCCACGACGCCCGGACTGTCGTTAATATAACTCACGCATACATATCTGGTACAGTTGACACGGACACCGCTGGTACTTTGCCTAGTAACCACTCTAACGCCATTAAATCGGCTGCCTTTGTTGGGATATTATTCTTCAGAACAATGCTTAATGACAGGTCACAACACGATGGTTCGAAACCTTTCTTCTTTTAAGCGGGGTGGTTTCTTTCTCTTTCTTTCTTCACCGTACGCCAACAATCCCCATGGATAGATCAAGGAACTATCCAAAGAGACTCCGAGGCAAGCCGCATATTGCCAAAGAGCTTCCACAAGTTCCAGCACGTCTTGCTTCGAAGCATCCAAATCCGTACAAAGAACCGACGCCAAGTGAAACTTCAAATCAAAATCACCAGACACGGCTCGCGTCCTTGTCTATGCGGAATGTACGGCCCCGGAGGGGCAAGTGGCAATTTTCCTACCTGTACCAGATGATCCTTGCATCCACGAAATTCTTCCGTTCCGGGAGGTGTATGATGCACCGTGAGCGGCTATTAGTGGCACTTGTGCATTATATTGGCTGATATCTACTAGAACTGAAGCCACTACTTCAGTCCCGGCACCATCACCCCAGACACTCACAGATTCTCAGAAGAAGACGTCTTTGTGAACATCTTCGCGCACGAACGATGATCCTACGTTTGCTATCTTCAAGACGTCTACCTTTTCATCTCTCTTATGA